AACTCATTTATTTTTCTATGTAGGTTTCCAAATAATATTGACAATCGAACTATTTGGGTAGCAAATTTAGGAGAAAACATAACGATTTTTTATTGTAGCATTATTTTGATATCTATTAAAAAAATAACTTGAATTCAACTATATTTAATTGTATTAATTTTAAAGCAAATAAAATTGTATTTTAATTTTTCTATACAGACGTGATTTGTTAATAGCTAAACTCTCGTTTTTTTTTAAATTCTTTGAACATATTTTAATACATTATTACTACTTCCAATTTTTAAAATCTGAATAATTACCCGCGAGTAAAAATTCAAGCACGCTTATGCTCATCGCGGAAACATCACATTGTATCGAAGCTTCAAAACATTGTGTGTTAAAGGTATCTTATTGCTGTGTCCATCTATGTTTATACGTCCATGGAAAATCACTTTTGATTGACCGGGAGGAGATAATATGTCGAAGAAGAAATTATCTAAGATCCACACAAAAATTCCGGGTTAAAGGAAGGCCAATCTTCTACCAGGATGAAACGTGGGTAAACTCAGGTCATACTCTAAAAAAATTTGGTCAGATAAAAATATATTAAACTCCAGGCAAGCCTTTATGGAAGGTTGGTCTACTGGTATCTCCCCACTATTTGGTAAAGGCAGTAGAAGAATTATATCACATTTGCAGTGAAAATTTGTGATTTGTTAAGCATGGTTTGTTGGAATTTCAGTCCAAAAGCACAAAAGACTATCACGAGAAGATGACAGCTGATGTTTTCGAAGAGTATTTTGAGCAGATGATTGAACAAATACCACCAAATTAAATTATAGTATTAGATAAAGCATCTTATCATTCACGACTAGTAGAAAGACTTCCAACGAATGCGTGGAAGAAATAGGATATTCTTGACTGGCTGCGGAATAAGTATCTGCCTTACGAAGATGAAATGGTAAAAGCAAAACTTTTAAAACTTGCCCGGTAAGACAAATCTAAGTTCGAGAAATACGTAGTTGAAAAAATGGCGAAGAGGCGAAACATCACAGTCCTTAGACTTCCACCCTACCACTGCGAAATAAATATAATTGAACTCATTTGGGCACAAATGAAAAGTTGTGTGGCTAGAAAAAATACGTCATATAAAATACAAGCTGTACGTGAATTGTTATACGAGTCTTTACAATATATTACAGAACAAAACTGGAAAGATGCCGTAAGACATGTAATAGAAGAAGAACAAAAAATGTGGGATCTTGATAACATAATTGATGCGACCGTAGAGACACAACCGCTAATTATTAACCCTCAAGACGACTCCGATTCCGAAGTTGATCCTATTTATTTTGAATTTGAATAGTTTTCTAATCGTAATTATATAAGGTAAGTAATATTAGTTGTAATCGTACGGTATTAAAGGGGAAAGGCGTAAAATGTCGCCTGTCAAAATGTTCAATGTGTTTTAAATGTATCCATTTTTTTTAATCCTGAGGAAACTAAAAAGAATTTTTGAAAATTTAAGCGCAGAATAAAATATTTATTAGAATAAATAAAAAATATTTTCAATTAAAAATTATACTATATTTTTGAATAAAATAAAGAAGTTCTATTAAAACAAAAATACAGCGGTAAATGCATAAGAATGGATTACGCTTTTGTAAATAGGAACTAAGATCAGAAATGTTTCTTTAATAGTTTTTATATGTTTCTTTAGGCGACTAATTTAATACAACTTTAACTAATATAAGTACAATTTAAAAAATATATTTATTTAGTTCAAATAAATGTTTCCATAATATACTCTACGACATTGGTCGGTCATCTATAACGAAAATACCTTCGTAATCGGATTATAAGGTTGATTGCTGTATTGTATTCCTTCAGATACAAGGTGGGTTAGTCGAAAACATCTTAAACCGTTAATTCAGGTTGGTTTTTACTATTATATCGTATTACCTATTCTCTCTGTATTTCAGTTCTCTAATTAGGGTTAAACTTGTAGTGAGCTATCGACAAATTGTGAACAGATTATACTGTATTTTATTTTAACTAATTTTAGGCCACTATGGCAATATCCGTTTCAACATTTACTTATCGGTGGTTGAATAAAATGGATATTTGAAAAATATGGAGGTAGGCCACTCTGGTTCTAATGGCCTCACATTATATTCGAAAATAATATCAAAATTGAAAAAAAATGAACATGTTTTATCCCTCCGAGGTACAGATATTTATTTGTTAATTCCTATTTAGCATTAATCTAAAGATAATCTATCATATTTTCCTCACACACTATTAGACATTAATAATATTTTTGTTTATTTCTATAAATGTTCTATTTTTACCTGAGTACGTAAAATGTCGGTCTTTTTTACAAGACATTCACGAACAATTGAGCTTCCTTCACGCTACCCTAAAACGTATACACAAATCGGGATATGAGCCATGCACATTCCTCGCCGACGAAACAGAGCTATACACATCTCCACATCTATAGGAGTTTTTCAGATGTCTAACAAATGTTCGAATATGACTATAACGTAGAAAATATGAGGGAATCCCATTTCCCATCTCGATGAAAATGTGGAAGCCGTCTGTGCATGTTTTATTATCATTTTTTTTTATTTCTATTGGATGGTTCGATATATAGAAAGCTTATATTAACGGAATGTTTGGTCGAACAATGTTTGCATTGTTATGTACGAAAGGGGTATTTTACTTAGTTTATTCATAAACTACACGGTTTATAAAATCTTTGTTTTCTTTTCATTAGATTGTTCTGTCTCATTATAATTTAGCTCATATTATTTTTCGATTTTATTTTATTTAGATTCACAGTTGTAATTGAGGAGGTTTAAAGACAAGGGGCACATAGGCCTATGTGCCCTTTTTCCGGTAAATTTTAATTTTAGATGAACATCCATGTTTTAAAGAGTGATTCTACAAAGTTTTATTCCTGTATCTTTGTTGTATAATGTGTGGGAGATTTTTGAATGCAACTTGGTACACCTGTTTTGGGCAATATCATGTGCTGTTTATTAACAACAAGTCCTTATTAACAACATTACCTGTCTAAGTTGGCGTTTAGTGTATATTCTAATGCTTTTTATATTGCGAGTAGTTCTCCTAGAATGGGAATATCTGGCTGAATTATCGAGTATCTATTTTGGTTCACAAAAGAGTATTCCTTCTACTGATAGCTTCACTTTTGAAGCAATGGTAACTTGCAAGAAACAATACTGTCAGAAAGCGTTACTTTATGTAGAATACCAGTATCGGTTAAAATGCTTTCTTTGGTTAATAAGTCGACATATTCATTATGGTCAAATCCTGCATGTGATTTAATCCAGAGACAATGTACATTGATTCCTTTGGTTAAAAGAGTTTGAATAATATGTTTAATTCTATAAATGTACGGGCAATCTTGTAAGGTTGGTGGTTCATATTTACCAATGGATTTTAACACTGCCAAGGAGTCCGAAAAAATTATAATATGAGCAAAATTAACTTCAGCTACATATAATAAAGCTTCATATATTGCAATGGTATCTGCTGTATAAATCGAAATTTCCGGGTTTAGTTTGAATTTCTTTTCTATATGTTCTGATGGTATAAAAAAACCCATCCGGTTCCATCTGGGGATTTAGACGTACCTGTATATAGAGCTATTGCCTCTTTGTATTTGCTTGTTATAGATAGAACAGTATTTTTATTTAAATATATATTTTCACTATAATTTGGTACAATAATATCTGTATGTAAGAAGAAAGAAGAGTATTTTTGAATATGTAGTTCGATTTATCTATATTGTTTAAAAAGTTTGACTCTGCAAAAGGTTCGAGAACGGTTCTATTGGGTTATATTTGCAGGTATAATTGCAGGTCCACTTCCAGAGACGAATGACGGAAATAAATATATCCTGGTAGCTATGGATTATTTTACGAAATGGACTGATGCCTACGCGATACCAAATCAAGAAGCTGCTACCGTTTCAGAGGTACTTACCTCAGAGGTTAAAGAATTCTTTAACCGATTTGGTGTTCTTTTGGAGATCCACTCCGACCAAGGGCGAAACTTCGAGTCAACCTTTTTCCAAAACGTTTGTAAATTGATTTGCGTAATTTGATGATGCGTAATTTATATCAAATTACGCAGAAAGAAAGAGTTGCTAGATTCGGCGTGACCAAAGAAGTTCAGCAGGATCTTTTTAGTGTTCCGCATAACGTCTCTCTAGCCCACTGTGTTGCCCAAGATCTTGAGATGACTAAAGGAATCTCATCCGTATTTTATAGGAAATTCGTTCGTTTGGACGAGTTAAAAAAAACAGCAGCCTAAAGTTGGAAAAGTACTGAGATTAGAAGATGGTTCTCGACCTTTGCTGTATATGGGGACCAGGAAGTCGTATACTGACAGGGCAACCTACGAGGATATATGATGTGCTCTAACTATTTTGAAGAAAATCGTCTGCAATTACGACATTAAGAATTTGGCCTTACCCAAGATAGACCATCCACTAGATAATCTGGATTGGAAGATTGTCAGAAGCATGCTTGAAGTGATCTTCCGAGAAACCGGTGTAAGAATTACTGTGTGTTGCATTAATCCGAAGAGATCGTGTCCTTCAAAGACAGTAGACTGTTATTTCTTTCTGAGGGGTTCATGCAGAGCTGGAGAGTCCTGTAGATTCCGCTATCCTGGGCCTACATACAGAGTTGCTGATCGGGACGCTCAGATCTAAGAGAAGAGCAGTGTTACGAACATGCATTCAGGATGTTTCGTGTAGCGGTTGCATCTCGAAAGCGACTCGAAGTTTCCAGGGATATCGAGTGCGAACAACGCGTCACGTAGGCGAATTAGAGGTGGGAATGTTCTAGGTTAGTTCATAAGATAGTACTGAATTGTAAACTAATTGATTGGCTGAACGTGGTGGACTTTTTAAAAATTTAATTTAAAATCGTTTTAATCAAAATTATAAAAGTGTTAAAATTGAAAAATTAAAAAAAAAGAAATATTTTATGCAATATTTATTTCATAAATACAATTAGTTTTTCTTACTATCACTCTTTTTGTTATTTACATACGATCTTATATAAAATCTTACAAATAAATTGATCATAAACACATTTTGCAAAATCCAGAAAAATAAACTATATGGCGGCACTGATTTACAGCCTGGAATAAATTTTGCTGCTGTCAACAAAAACAAGATCATATTCAGTTGCACCTAAAAATGATATCAAAATAAGTTAATATAAATAAATAAATCTAATCTAAATACAATGTACTATTATTATTGAAAATAAGCCACAAGAACATAGCTTCTAAACCAAATCGAACGTAGTAGCTTTTACAGTTTCAACCTTCATCCCAATAATATTTCTAAATATGTAGACATTATCTGTTATTTGTCATTTCTCCCTAAACACCTCTTTTTTCCTTTCCTTTTTTTCTTTATTGTTGTGTAGTTGGAGCCGTTTTTTTCCGTCAGCTGTCTTCTTTTACCTATTAGCCCTTTGGTAATTTGGCTCTTTTGCTGCTATTTCTTATACATTCGTATTAAATAATATTTTCGCTTCTTGGTCCGTTGATGACAGTTATCCTTGTTCGCTTTATTACACTAGACATACCTATGAAATTATTTGTCATGCCTTTCTTAAGCTTACGTCTAAAGCATTTTTCCCTTAATTGATATTAAAGCTAGAGTACTAACGTACGTAAATTTGACGTACCGATTTTAATCTGACAGCTACTAAAAGAAAACTAAACAATGCTTAGCCGCGTCTCAGAATAATAAACAACCAGAATGTCCACTCTCAGATGCCGCCTTTGAAGTTTTTCAGCGCGCGCGCCATGTTTTAGAAGGAAACACATAACACAGACATATGATTTCTGAGGTTATGTAATTGTTTATATTTATGTTTAATTATATTATTATTTATGTTATTATATTTAACAATGTTAATATAATTGTATAGTATGTCTATGATTGCCGTACGTCAATCATTTTTCTATGTACACCACATAAACAACACTGGTTCCCTCTAAAACATGGCGGAACGTCTGCGCGAAGGAGATGCGCGTACTTAATTTTCCATGGAGAATTCTGATTGTTTATTATTCTGTGGCCGCGTAAGCTATGCTATCCTCACCTCATAGTCAATAAAACAAATGAATACTCGACTCGCTTTGATTTTAATTTGGGTTAGGCTTTGACTGTGGTAGTTATACCACTTTGTACGTAAAAGATACGTGTGGTTAGTATCAATGTAATCAAGACAAATACAAACAGATACACAAAGAAATCCGTCAGAAAATTAAGAAAAGCAAAAGAACGTTGGATGGTGGAAAGGTGCAACGAAATAGAACAATTGCAGGAAAAAGGAGATAGTTTTGGACTACATAAGAAGATCAAAGAAATATCGAATATACACAAAAGCCACCACAGAACAAGAATACGCAACGACAGAAACGAATACATAGAGTCAGAAGAAGAGATAGCAATGGCGTGGAAAGAATACGCAGAAAGCCTTTTTAATGACGAAAGACCAACACAACCAACGCGCAAACTTCCTTCCGAAAACTTATCAGGGCCATCAATAATGCGAAGTGAAATAGAATATGCAGTTAGAACCACAAAGATGAATAAAGCAACAGGTCCAGATGAAATTAATATAGAAGCAATAAAACTACTAGACGAGGAGAATATCGAAATCTTGGTAAGGCTGTTCAATAGAATTTATGATACTGGTTACATTCCGCGAGAATGGCTGCAGTCATCCTTTGTGATGATCCCAAAAACAGCTAATGCCACAAAATGCAATGAACACCGCTTAATCAGTTTAATGAGTCACTTGTTGAAACTCTTCCTTAGGATATTACACTCAAGAATGTATAAGATACTAGAAGAACTTAGCGGGTCAACACAATTCGGTTTTAAGGGAGGACTAGGAACAAGAGAGGCAATTTTATGTTTGAACACCTTAATACAAAACTGCTTAGATCAACGAAAAGATGTCTACCTCACCTTCATCGACTACGAGAAGGCATTTGACAATGTTAAACATGATATCATGATGGAACTACTACATAGGGCCAACATTGAGCAGAAGGAGATCAGAATTATTCAGAATCTATACTGGAACCAAATGGCAAAGGTGAGGATTGATCTAGACCGATATACGGATGAATTTAAAATCCGGAAAGGTGTCCGCCAAGGCTGCATACTCTCTCCGATGCTTTTTAATTTATATGTTGAAAATATATTTGCGGAAGCATTAGAAGATACGGAATTAGGCATTAAGGTGAACGGCATACCAATTAGCAACCTACGCTATGCGGACGACACAGTGATTATAACTGATAATTTGGAAGATCAGCAGTTATTACTTGATAGGGTGAATAGCATAGGTAAAAAATATGGCCTCAAAATCAACATTTTGAAAACGAAATATATGGTCATTAGCAGAAACCCTCCAGAAAACCCGATATTATGCATAGGTGACAATCGTATAAATCGCGTGAAAACTTTTAAATACCTTGGCACCACAATCAATGACCAATCGGATCCACAACACGAGATAAAAACCCGAATACAAATGGCAAGACAAGCTTTTGTGAAATTCAGACCGCTCCTATGTAATCAACACCTAAACTTCGAAATACGCTACAGAATGGTCAAGTGCTACATATGGTTTATCTTGCTTTATGGCATGGAAATGTGGACTTTGAAAAAAACATCTATCAACAAACTTGAAGCATTTGAAATGTGGTCATTGAAAAGAATGATGCGCATACCTTGGGTGGATAGAGTTCGAAACGATGACGTCCTTAATAGAGCCGGCGTGGAAAGAGAACTCTTTGAATTAATTAAAAAACGCAAGATTGGTTACCTTGGGCACATATTGAGAGGAGCAAAATATGAAATACCACAGTTAATCCTACAAGGGAAGATCGAAGGTAGGAGAGGAGCCGGCCGCAAACAATTGTCCTGGTTAAGGAATATTAAAGAATGGACAGGAATACACAATACAGGTGAGCTGTGTCACGCCGCCAAGAACAGAATTCTAGTAATGAGATAGTCGCCTACGCACTTTGGTGTATGGCATGTTAAGAAGAAGAAGGTTAGTATCCGCCTAAAAAATGTTGTATGTAATTCTAACGTGATGTTATTATTAACGTATAAATAAGATATCTGCAAAAACAAATGTTAATCTAAAGCTTCCTCTTATTGAGAAAGCATTGGAGACAATTATAAATAAAAGGAGTGGAAACATGGACTCTCGGAATTACAAGTATGAGGCGTATAGAAGCCTTTGAGATGTGAGTTTTTCGAAGGATGCTGAAGATCTCTTGGACAGAGCACGTGACCAACAACATGGTGATGAGAAGAATGGGTACTGAGAGAGAACTCCTAAATACTGTACAAAAACAGGAAAACGAGTTATCTAGGACATATTTAGAGAGGAAATAATTACAACTTTCTACAACTTATAATGGAAGGAAAAGTGGAAGAAAGAAGAGGTCCAGGAAGCAGAAAATGCTCCTGGTTAAAGAATGTAAGAGACTGGACAGGTATAGACACATATTCGATACTAATAACAGCTCAAGATAGAGAGCAATTTGCTGTAGTCTTAGCCAAACTTCAGTAATGGTGAAGGTACCTTAAGAAAAAGAAGATACGTAAAAGTGACTTTAGTGGTTTAAGTGATGCAGAAGATAATCTAGAGGAGTTAGAAAATCCATTTGATAAGGTACATATAAGATTCTACATGGTCAATTAGTATGTTAATTATCCGTAATTGTCGATTACGAATTCTTGAAGTTGAGGCTAAGGCCGTATTCCTCACTAACTGAATAAACTTTTTCCATTACCTGTTGTAATTCGTCTATGGTACTGGCAATGATCACCGTGTCTTCAGCATATCTTATATTATTCGTTAACTCGCAGTTTATTTTTATGCCCTCGTTTGCATTTTTCATACATTTGTTAAATATTTCCTTGGAATACATATTGAATAGGAGTGGGGATAATATACACCCCTGAGGGACACCTCGTTTGATCTGCACACTTTCAGTGAGTTCGTTGCCAATTGTTGCTCTTGCTGTTTGACCCCAATATCATTTTGCCACAATTCGAATGTCCTTGTCGTCGATACCTGTCTTTCGCAGAATATCTATCAATTGTTCATGATTAACATTGTCAAATGCTTTTCTAAAATCTACAAAGCACAAATACACGTCCTAATCAACGTCTCTACACCGCTGTATAAGCACCTGGAGAGCGAAAATTGCTTCTCTAGTTCCAAGTGCTTTCTGAAAACCAAACTGCGATCAATCAATATTTGACTCACATTTATCATACATTCTTCTATGAATTATCTTAGTGAACGCTTTAGTGACCTTATTGATCAAGCTTATAAGCCCGTAGTCATCACAGAGCTGGGCATTTGGTTTCTTCGGGATTGTAATAAATGTTGACTGCAGCCAGTTCTCCGGGATTTTACCGCTATTATATATGTTGTTAAAAAGTACAACTAGATTATCAAGGGACTGTTTGTCTGATTTACATAGGATCTTTAATATTTCGCAAGGTGTATTGTCCGGACTTACTGACTTATTGTTTTTTAGTGCTGCAATGGCATCTTCTATCTCCGATTTAAGGATTGAAGGTCCTGTTTCTCCTTCTCCATATAGGTGATCATCAGTCCTGTCAGATGCAAATATTTTTTCTATGAATGATTTCCGTGTTTCTAAGATCGTTGATGGCTCCGAGATAAGATTTTTATCGCTATCTTTTATGCTGTTGGGTGAATTATTGAATTTCCTCTTGTTTGTCATTAATTTTATTTTTGTGTGCATATTGTAACTGTCGTATTTTCGTTCGTATTGTTCTATTTCCTTGCATTCGTTGAAAAACCATTTTTCTTTGGCTTCTCGAATTTTCGTTCTTATGATTTTGTGGATCTGCTGGTATTTTTTTGGATTTTTATTCTTGAATTTACGTCTTTCATCCAGCATATCCATTATCTCATCAGACATCCATTCTTTCTTCTTCCGTCTGTCACGCTTTAATAGAGTCGCGCATGTTGTTTGGATTGCTTCCCTCGATTTATCCCATCTCTCTATTATGTCCGACGTGTTCTCGTTAATGTCGTTTATTGTCTTTCCTAGTTGTTCTCGTACTTTTATTTCGGTTTCTGGGTTATTGAGTTTCTTAATATCGATTGTGTTTAAATAAGCTCTTTTTTTGAGCCGTTTTACTCTCATGACTATTCTGCATACCAACAGAGTGTGGTCCATGAGAATATCGGCACCTGGGTACGTTTTTGATGATTTTATCATGTTTTTATATCTTGCTGGTACTGCTATATAATCTATCTGATTCCTTATGATGTTGTCAGGTGAGTCAGTGGGGGATTTCAATGTGTAAAGTCGACATTTGGGTAGCTTGAACATTTTGTCACAAGCCTGACGAGACCTTTACATGGAAGTAGACGTAATGTGACAATGGACAACTGGTTTTCCAGCATCCCTTTTGCGAATAAATTATTATCTTTCTCTTTAGTCCAGGCTGTGAGGCCGCTCCCGTTGGGAAAATGTTTCTGATTCGGTTTCTTCGCGGATTCCGGTTCAAAAATGTCCCCTTTAAACAAATCTGAAGGGTGCCGGGCTAAATTTTTGGGCAGAAATTGTTTAAACAATTTTTTTTAAACAAATTCCAAAAATATTTTTTTTATCTAGAAAACGTTTTTTGGGTCATTTTAAATAAAAAATGTCTTCTGTCATTTTTCTATTAAAGTTGATAGTTTTCGAGTTATAAGCGATTAAAAGTCTGAAAAACGCGAAAATACGCATTTTTGAGGCTTGAAAACACATATGTTAATTATTATTTTTGAGATCACCAAGTGTCTAAATTGAAGTTTAAACATTCAACTTCAAGATTGTGAAGAGTAATCGGGGCCTTTTTTTAATTTAGACCGTTGTTTTTTAATTGTTAAATATGCGCGTACACTCGATTTTTCAGCCGCCGCGGCGCGGCGCGCTAGAGTGCGCTTCTATCGTACTTATGCATAGTTTACATATACACTTACGCAAAAAAACCCGAACAAATCCTTGAAGTTTATTAACATAGTTTTTTCCATAATTTATTTATGTAGGTATTAATTATTGTCATTGGGCTAATTAAATAAATCAATCATCGCAATGTAATAACCGTATATAGTTTTTTTTTCTTCCAAATTTGAACAATATAATTATTATTTATTGAGTATATATTTATTTATATCAATTTTAAATAATATTTTTAAATTATTATTTAAATAATACAATGCAGTAAATATTAATATTAGTAAACTTAATTTTAAATTGCGCGGTGTTTTAAAAACAATATACTGTCGCAAAAATGCAAGTTTTTACCTGTTTAACAATCGCGCGCTCATACTTGATTTGTTATTACTTAAACGATCATTAGGAAGACTATTGTTTAATGCCCATTAAAAAGGTATTATATTATTAATGTGTTATTAAAAAAATTGTGAATGGATTTAAAATGTCTTTTTCCGTACCTCTTCTTAAATGAAAACTTACCGAAGAAAATTTAGTTTGTATTTTTTGTAATAACATCAACAATATTAAGTTAGTGCAAAAACCTAAAGTAGATTTTTACATAACAATACAAAATGCTGCTCTTCGACGAAAAGACAGTGTGCCTGAAAAATTTAATTTAATCTAGCCAATATACCTTGTACCTCTGACGCACTTTACCAACACTTGTTAAGAGCTTTCGCTAAAACATATATTTGGCGAAATGCCATATATTCCCGCTATCAAACTCTCGATTTTACACAATATGGATATTATATGTCTGATAGTGGTGGGTTGGGAAACCGTGCAAATGCAAAAAGACTTGCAAAACTAATGCTTGCAACTGCAAGAAAAATCATGTCAACTGTGTACCATTATGTGGATGTGATTTAGATTTTTGTGAAAACAAAGATACTTTTACTGAGTGATATTAGTGTGTTATTTAACAATCTTTTGTACAATTATTTTATGTAACTATTATTAGACTTTAGACGAAATTTATATTATAACTCAATTGATATAAATAAATATATACTCAATAAATAATAATTATTTGTAAGTATATGTAAACTATGCATAAGTACGATAGAGGCACACGGTAGAGCGCGGCGCCGCGGCGGCTCAAAAATCGAGTGTACGCGCATATTTAACAATTAAAAAACAACGGTCTAAATTAAAATAAGCCCCGATTACTCTTCACAATCTTGAAGTTGAATGTTTAAACTTCAATTCAGACACTTGGTATCCTCAAAAATAATAATTTACATATGTGTTTTCAAACCTCAAAAATGCGTATTTTCGAGTTTTTTAGACTTTAAATCGCTTATAACTCGAAAACTATCAACTTTAGAGAAAAATGACTAGAGATTTTTTTGTTTAAAATGACCCAAAAAACCTAAAAACATATTTTTCAGATTAAAAAAAATTATTTTTGGACGTTTTCTAGATAAAAAAAAATATTTTTGGAATTTGTTAAAAAAAAATTGTTCAAACAATTTCTGCCCAAAAATTTTGCCCGGCACCCTTCAGATTTGTTTAAAGGGGACATTTTTTAACCGGAATCCGCGAAGAAACCGAATCAGAAACATTTTCCCAACGGGAGCGGCCTCACAGCCTGGACTACTTGGAATCTCCTAAAGCTTGGAAATGCGGTTCAAGTATGTTTGTGTACGATGAAAACATGACTTTATTATCTTATAAACCTTAGCAAAATAACACAGTTCTTCTACTTTAAACTGTGCATTTTTCTGGAAACATTAATCATGAAAAAACAAAACCCGAAATAATCCATACATATAATTCAACTAAAGGGGCTGTAGATACGTTTGACCAAATGTCTCAGAACATTTGCTGTAATAGGAAGACTAAAAGGTGGTTGCTATGCATATTTTAGAATATGATGAATATTGTAGAAGTAAACGCTTGTGTAATCTACCATCACAATGCAACTAAAAACAAAACAGAAGCTATTATCAAGATTACATTTTATGCTGAAATTTCATGAACAATTAACGAAGCCGTGACAACAGATAAGACTGGAAACAGTACCAACTTTATCAAGAAGTCTTAAAGAGAGTCGTTTTATGCTTTTGAATTTAACGCATGTTGCTAAAGACTGTCGAGGTCTCCAAGGAAAAGGAAAACAGACTTACTGTAGTTTATACTCTACAGCAAAAAACGAATGACAACTACCAAAATGTTACAAGTGTGGGAATGCCTTGTGTGGAGATCATCAAATAAAAATGTTTATGGAATATGTATTAATAGAAGGTTATCGTTTCTATATTTGTAATGTTTATTATATGCACAGGTTTATTTTGTACATATTATTACCAGATTCTGTTCTATGTCAAAAGTATCTATTTAATGTTGTTTCTGTTTGGATTATTAATATTTCAATTTTTTTTACTTGTATCGTTCCTAAATAAACTTTTCTTGAAATTAAACTATTTTGTTTTAATAGGTATGAAATAAAAAGAAAATACTAGACCTAAATCAGTAAGTACGTGAAATTTACGTATAGTTAGTATATACGTATGTATGTTAAAGAAACCTTAGTATTCTAGGGTTGAAATAAATAAATTTATAACAAATTGATATTGCTAAATATTACTTACAATCTGTAATATCGTTAAGCCCTTCTTTATTGTGGTATATTTGCTCCATCTGGAATCTATTGCGCTCATCAAATAGTAAACATACATTAAAACATGTGTGAGTGAATTTAAACCTCCAATTACCAAGATAGTGTCTCCGAAGTCGTATCTAAATCCCAAGAAAGCAGCCATGACTATACCAGTATGGTGATATATGTGAAGAAAACTAGCCTGTTGATACTTTTTCCGTATTATAAAAAAAACCTAGAAAATATAAAACTTGTAGATGCACACATTTCATATTTGCAAGAGATGACATTTGACAGCTGAGCCAGGCTGTCAAATGTCATGTTAAGTATATTGTATTGTAGTTTTTTTTGTAAAACTTTTAGTTCACTTGTGTTTAGTGGTTTGATGTACGCATCGAGCAATAAGACAAAAGAGGGAATGTAAAGGTAGTGGGGGTAAACATATTGATAGACAGGAAGTGCCATCTTGAGAGGCCACTTTAGACAAGGATAGACAGTCTCTTTCCTTGTTTAAGAAGTCAAATTTAGTTAGGTTATGTTATTGTTTGTCCCAACTGTCACATGAAATTTTATTTATATTGAAGTTTTTTTACCAATTATGTCACTTTTTAGACTATTATCGTTAATATTTAATTAAAACTTTCTTGTCTGAAAAATATTTTACAGGTATTGTTAACAAGTGTTGGAAAATTTAAATTTAGCGCCTTTGCATTTCCGGATATGTCCGCCATCAGAGACCACTTTTTTGGTCTCCTTTTCATAACGATTAGATTCCCTCTTTTATCTTTTTGCTCGATGGATGTACGGCATCAAATCACATGGATTGTTTACGTTTTTTCGGATATACTCCTACAAGAATATTGTACCATAATGCTCGTGGGAGAAAGATTCTTGAACTACTGAGAAGTTATGTGAATTTCTCTACTGCATTTACAGGCAAGCTAGTTTTTTTGCTCATTATTTTTAAATTATTAAAAAACATAACCACAAAAAGTTGTAGTGATTTGATACCAACCTAAAACTAGCAATATATATATGTATATATATATATATATATATATATATATATATATATATATATATCTACAATCAATATTATAAGCCTAGTTTTATTTAAGAATCAAATAATACACGATACAATGGTGTTTTAAATAAAGAGCATATTATTAGAAATGCTTTGAGTTTTGATAAAGAAGATGTATACAAAAGTTTTAATGAACTACTACTCGTGGTGAAAATAAAATCGGATCTACATTATTGAAATGGGCAAATACCGTCATTCCTGGCTGTGAGATAGAAGAAATATACTATGGTCGGTACGGTCAGAGTAAAAAATTTTGCTAAAACAAATCCTGATCAATTGCTATAAATACAACATTTCAGCACAAGTACTTTTCATTGATTAGAAAGCTGCCTACGATACAATAGACATAAATAACTTAATAGAAACAATAAAAGAATTCCAAGTGCCAGAAAAAATAATAAGATTGGTAAAAATGATTTTTAATTCGGAAATTGTACTTAAAATACGAAACATTAAAAATTTTATAAGTAAATTTGTGGCATATACCCAATAAAAAACAGTAAGCTGCCATTTAGATTCATTTCGCCCAAATTTGATTGTCTTGGAACATTGTTCAAATGGTAAAAAGACAACAGGTCAAATAAAACCAATAAGTTTGGCAACACGTGAGGTCTATACCGACCATAAACTTTTACCTATACTGTATATATACAGATTACTTACTGTTTCAACACAGTCCACTAGTTTAAGATAATAATAATGTTTCCTTGCATCTGCTAAAAGATCTTTTTCTGTCGTATCTATACATACCCAATTTGAGTTTGAGAAATAAACATATATGGCCTAAAAAATTATAAAAATTGATGAATATGTTTAGAAATAGCTATACAGATTTTACTATAGTATCATAAAACCGTTTACTATGATTCTTCCTATGTACAGCCAGAAAATAATAATGTTTACTACATTAAATTTACTTAAGTGTGTGTACCACTTAACACTTTGTCTCGTAGAAAGACCGAAAATCACTTTTTGATTGACCTGGAGGAGATAATATGTTGGAAAAGAAATTATCTAAGATCCATACGAAAATTCCGGGCTGAAGGAAGGCCAATCTTCTACCAGGATGAAACGTGAGTAAACTCAGGTCATTCTCTAAAAAAAATTTGGTCAGATAAAAATATATTAAGCTCCAGGCAAGCTTTTATGGAAAGTTGGTCTACTGGTATCTCCCCACCTTCTGGTAAAGACAGTAGGTTAATAATCCCTCACATTGGCAGTGAAAAAAGGTTTGTTAAGCATGGGTTGTTGGAATTTCAGTCCAAAAGCACATAAGACTATCACGAGGAGATAACAGATGAGGTTTTCGGAGAGTATTTTGAGCAGACGATTGAACACATACCACCAAATTCAATTATAGTATTAGATAATGCACCTTATCATTTACGACTACTAGAAAGAAAATCCACAAGGAAAAAATTCCTGTAGCTGGCTGTATACCACGTATCACAAAAAGAGGTTAGTCTTTGTAAATGGGTATATTTATTTAAAAAACCCTTAAAAGAGCTACATCAATAAAACAAACGTTTTCGGACCACACAGTTCATCATTAGGTTTTAAAATCGAAAAATGCTAGGTCACAATGCCTGAGCCACCAAAATACTAGGGTAAAAACCCTTTTTATTACATTTAGTTATAAAAGATTGTACATTGTATTGTAAAATAACTGTGATGTTCAGTATTAAATTAAATTTAACTAGAGGTAACACATGGCTGAATCGAGTTGCAGAGCCGGTGAGAGAGAACCTCTACACGCGGAGAACAGCTAGGAACTCATTCCCAGCTGTGAGTTCCCAGCTGTTCTCCGCGTTGTAGAGGTAGAAGTACAATTTAAAAATATATTTATTTAGTAATTGATGGATTCGACCGTTACTTGATGGAAATTCATTTTATGTAACAATAAAACACTGAAAACTTTGTTTTCAAACTTCCACAAAATTTATTTTAAATATTATCACTACAGCTGTTTCGGCTGATTGCCTTTCTCAAGTGATCTATTTTGGCTTGGGTTTACAAATTTATAGTCTCTAATGAAATAGGTTGAGGAGAGGAGAACTGTTTGTCTCAAGTTGGTCATTCAGAATTATATCTGTGTTTTTTAATTTGTTGATTTCCATAGATTCTAACAAAGATAGCTTAAGGCCTTTATTTTGAATGTGAAGAATTTTAAATTTGTCATTAAAAGAATGATTATGATCTAGAAGGTGAAGTGCGTATGTCGAATCTGTTTTTCTATTCTTGAAAGCCCTTTGATGTTCTGCTATTCGTTTATCAAAGTTTCTACCAGTTTGACCGATGTAAGTTTTTGGGCAGTCGCCACATTGGAGTTTGTATACACCACTATTTAAGTGTTTTTTATTTTGGCTCTTGTTATTTTTAATATATTTGCCTAGGTTGTTATTTGTTCGGAAAGCTGGTGTTATTCCTTTCTTTTTTATGTGTTTGGCAATTTTTGTTGTTATTTTGCCTGTATATGTAATCGAGCAGAAGGTACTGGGTTTTTTCTCTGGTGGTGGAAATACTAATTTCAGGGCTTTCTTGTGTCGTTTTTGATTTAACATTTTATTAATTGTTTGTTCGTTGTATCCGTTGTTCACTGCTATTTGTTTAATTATATTTAATTCTGTCTCAAAGTTGTCTTTTGACATCGGAATTTCTGTTAATCTATGTAACATACTATGATAAGCTGCCAGTTTATGTTGTGCTGGATGGGATGACGAATTGTGTATAGTCGTGTCAGTATGGGTAGGTTTATGAAATATGGAGAAGTCATGTTTGTTTTGAAGTCTGCTAATTTTTAAATCTAAAAAATTTATGGATTGATTTTGTTCTGTTTCTATTGTAAATTGAATATGACTATGAACTGATATATTATATATTATCATATATTAATTCAGTTCATAGTCATATTCAATTTACAATAGAAACAGAACAAAATCAATCCATAAATTTTTTAGATTTAAAAATTAGCAGACTTCAAAACAAACATGACTTCTCCATATTTCATAAACCTACCCATACTGACACGACTATACACAATTCGTCATCCCATCCAGCACAACATAAACTGGCAGCTTATCATAGTATGTTACATAGATTAACAGAAATTCCGATGTCAAAAGACAACTTTGAGACAGAATTAAATATAATTAAACAAATAGCAGTGAACAACGGATACAACGAACAAACAATTAATAAAATGTTAAATCAAAAACGACACAAGAAAGCCCTGAAATTAGTATTTCCACCACCAGAGAAAAAACCCAGTACCTTCTGCTCGATTACATATACAGGCAAAATAACAACAAAAATTGCCAAACACATAAAAAAGAAAGGAATAACACCAGCTTTCCGAACAAATAACAACCTAGGCAAATATATTAAAAATAACAAGAGCCAAAATAAAAAACACTTAAATAGTGGTGTATACAAACTCCAATGTGGCGACTGCCCAAAAACTTACATCGGTCAAACTGGTAGAAACTTTGATAAACGAATAGCAGAACATAAAAGGGCTTTCAAGAATAGAAAAACAGATTCGACATACGCACTTCACCTTCTAGATCATAATCATTCTTTTAATGACAAATTTAAAATTCTTCACATTCAAAATAAAGGCCTTAAGCTATCTTTGTTAGAATCTATGGAAATCAACAAATTAAAAAACACAGATATAATTCTGAATGACCAACTTGAGACAAACAGTTCTCCTCTCCTCAACCTATTTCATTAGAGACTATAAATTTGTAAACCCAAGCCAAAATAGATCACTTGAGAAAGGCAATCAGCCGAAACAGCTGTAGTGATAATATTTAAAATAAATTTTGTGGAAGTTTGAAAACAAAGTTTTCAGTGTTTTATTGTTACATATTTATTTAGTATAAATAAATGTTTCAATCATATACCCTACGACACTCTTCGGTCATCTGTAATCAAAATACCTTCGTAATCGGATTATAAGGTTGACTGCTGTATTGTATTCCTTCAGATACAAGGTGGGTTAGTCGAAAACATCTTAAACCGTCAGTTTCAGATTGGTTTTTACTATTATATCGTATTACTTATCCTCTCTGTATTTCAGTTCTCTAATTAGGGTTAAACTTATAGTGAGCTATCGACAAATTGTGAACCGAGTATAGATCTCAGAAGTGAAACCTATCAATGGACTTACATCTGTGTGAAAAATATATGGTTAACATGCGTTTTCTTTTTTTCGATTTTGTAAAACTGTACAAAAATTACAAAACCATCTATTTATATTAACTTGTTTGCTTAAAACCACTTTTTGTAAATAAAATTGTATTCTGTTGAAAACTGTACAGTTTTTTTACTTTTCTAAACAAATTTACTGTTATTACTTGAATCTATTAGCTTTTCAAATTATTGATGAGTCATAATTAGGTATAATCCGACAAGCGAGTGCTGGCGGGTGAGCTGCGCAAAAATAGAAAAGAAATTATTCTAAGAGAGATAGGAGAGGTACTTAATCGCGATTATAGGTATATAGTATAGGTACTTAAACGGTTATACACGATGTGAACTCCTAGAAGACTGCAATAGAAATGAGCAATCCCTTCCACATTTAAATTTGTTCTACGCGCAACCCGCCAGCTCTCGCTTGTCGGGTTATAGCTTTTAATACAACATACTTACTTCATAAACAATAAACGCGTTAACTAGAATTTGAATAAAGTTGTAGCCAATTAAAATATTTTTAATATTATATGGTTGTCTATTTTGCATAAGTTTTGGTCCAAGTATTTTAATAATAAAAATATAGGTTAACAAAAATCCTCCGAGGAAGTATGGGGATGATGTGATAGAGGCATCGTGTCTCGGATCTAAAAAAAATTAATAATACAAAAAGGCCGATCTGTTTTTATTAACACTTATGAATAAATGAATACATTAAAAAAGAAAGTGATTCTGTCATTTTAAAAATCACATATATCTACATTTTATCAAAAATAACTTTTCAATCTTGTAGTTTGTAGAACTAAATTGAAGAAACTAATTGAAGAATACCAGAAATGGGGATTAAATATCAATTTAGAAAAGACAAAATACCTCTCAATTGGAGCTGAAGCAGAACAACTCGATATCGATGACAATCAAAAAATAAATACATGCAACGAATATAAATACCTGGGCGTCATCTTCGACCGTAGTGGAAAAGACGAACGAGAAATAGAACATCGAATTGTACAAGCACGAAGAGCTATAGCATGCTTGAACAGAGTTCTATGGAGTAAAGAAATATTAAAGAAAAAAAATGGAAAATCTATGAGACAATGGTTAAAACTAGCCTACTTTATGGAGCTGAGACATGGAGAATAACCGAGAAATATAAGAAATAGGTCGAAGCCACGGAAATGGATGCCATCAGAAGATCGATGAGAATATCAAGAGCCGGCAGAATATGGAATGAAGTGATAAAACAACAAATGGGTATAGAGGGCACTATAATTGAGGATATTGAGAGAAAACAGCTCATATGGTATGGGCATGTGAGCCGAATGGGAGACGAAAGATTGACTAAAAAAACGATGATGTGGCAACCCCCAGAGAAGAGGAAACGAGGAAGACCACCACAGAGCTGGAACCTGGGAGTTAGGAAAGCGATTAGCGCTCGAAATCTGGACGAAGACCTAACTCAAGACAGAATACAGTGGAGTTTGGGAGTCGGACAACGTCGTAAGACGTTATAAAAGCCTCTCTCATTTTGTGAACAAATCATATTAATCCCATCCTTAATTAGTGATATAAGCATTCCAAAAATATTCAGTTCATTTGAAAACCACATATCCGAGATACAAATTGTTTTATAAACGACCCGTTAGGAAGCGCGCTCATCGTAATGTTGACATTACTATTTAAAAGCAACAATAATTATGTGAAAATGGATACCGACGTACGTGAATCAAAATAAAGACGTAAAAAGGGTGTAAAAAATGTTACCTTCAAGTGTGAAATAGTTAAAAAAGTTTGGGTGCAAGGTATAGAGTATATAAATTATAAAGGAAATAGGGTCCCTAATATTGAACAAAGCAAAAGGTGCAAGTAAGTATTTCTTATTTTATAACCTCAAACAGTCGATTATAAAATGTTACTTTTAGATGTGTATAAATAGAACGACACGAAGAGACAGAATAGGACAAAATGTGATGGTCAACACCTTCAATTTCGAAAGAGTACAACGTTTTAAGTATCTGCGGACCGTAATCACAGCTAACAACGATGTTACTGAAGAAATAAAAGACAGAATACAATCTGCAAACCGCTGTCTATTTGCACTGGATAAGCTCATAAAATCAAAAAATCTCACAAGTTCAAAGCTCAAAATCTATAAATCCATCGTCAGACCTGTAATAACATCCGAATGCAAAACGTGGACCATGACCAAATCAAGCGAAGAAAAGCTCAAACGCTTTGAACAAAAAATACTGAACAATTTTAAGTTCTTATGCGGAAAAAATTGCGAAAAAAATAAGTGCTTAATATTGGGTACATATGGCAACAAGTCTTTTTAACTAAAAGAAGTGCATAATCACTAACGAGTATTCTCCCCTCTAGCTCTTATTACTCCTAGCTTGCATCCTTCTCGGTATCTTCTTCTGCTAGTGCCTATCCTCTATGGATGTTGCCTACCACAATGGCTCATCGTATATTATTATCAGCTGTCCATCTGCCTCACTGTCCACTGTCTCAAATTCTTAAGCCAGGATATTCGGCGGCGTCCTGGTCCTCTATTTCCTACTATTTTCTCTTCTTATATCAATAGTAGGATTCTGTATTTATTTTCATTTCTCACTATATGTCCGAAGTACGCTAACTGTCTCTCTTTAATGGATTTTAAGACTTTAGGTTCTTTTTGTAAACGTTGCATTACTGCGTCGTTAGTTATGTGATGTACATATGATATTCTGCGACGATAGCACCACATCTCAAAAGACTGCAATCGTCTGCAAGACGAATCAGTAAGTGTTCATGCCTCTACTCCATACATGAGAACAGAAAACATATAACAATTAAGGATTTTGTGTCGGAGATGTAAGTTCAAGGTTAAATTGCAGAGAACTTTCTTCATCTGTTGGAAGGCACTCCTTGCTTTTTCAATTCCAATACTCAGGTTCTATCCAATACCTCATTGTCTGCCATAAACTTTGCACCTGTATCTTGTTTTTTGCTTAACGTGTTCTATCAAGTCCCCTTGACGTTGGCGATTAACATGGCGACACTGTCTCTGTCTCGAGCTACTCTAAAGATCTAAAGATGGTTTTTTACTTATGATCATAATTTTCGTCTTCTTATTATTAAGTGTTATTCCATATTTTATACCGATGTTAACTACTTAATCTATCAGTCTTTGTAATCCTTCAGCACTATCCGCAACAAGGACAGTGTCATCTGCATATCGTAGATTATTTATTACTTTACCGTTAACAATCACGCCATCAGTCGTTTCTTTCAAATCTACTTGAAATAGATGTTCAGAATACGCATTAAACAGCAACGGCGAGAGTATGCAACCTTGTCGTACTCCTCTTTGTATTGGGACTTCATCGGATAATTGATTGTCCACTCGAATCTTGGTTACTTGTTTTCTATAGAGATTGGCTATTATTCTTATATCTTTGTCATAGGTCTTTGCGATTCGCAAAGTTTCAATAAGCCTCTCATGCTGTACTTTGTCAAATGCCTTTTCGAAGTCAATGAAACAGGCAAAGACATGAAAGAAAAATGGTCACAGGAAACTGGATTTATCTTTTTAACAACTAAAACTAAATATATAGTATTTTGTAAAAACAAAGTCAGTACACCAATCTCATTATATCTATACAACCAATCACTACAAAAAAAAGATTCGCTAAAATTGCTAGGAGTTACTTTTGACAGAAAGTTAAATTGGAAAGAACATATCAATAATCTAACATGTATATGTTACAGAAGATTAAATTTACTAAAAATTCTAGCACACAATAACTGGGGTTCAGACAGGAGTACATTGTTAATTATATACAGAACTATTATACGATCACAGACTACGTGGCTATAGCTTACGACTCAGCATTGAAATCAGTACCTAAAAAGCTCGACACTATTTACAACACAGCATTCAGAATATGCCTGGGAGCCTTTTTGTACAACACCGAGTGAAAGTTTACTTTGCGAAGCAAATTAATTGTCGTTAAATGATAGAAAAACTTACCTTAGTCGAACGTATGCAACAAAAATTAAGGAGAATGCAAAAAATCCTGTCTATAGAAATACTTTTACTAATAATTTCCCAAACTTCAATGCAAATCACTGTTCTGTTAAACCTTTCTATAAAAGAATAAAAGATCATTTGCATCTGTTTGATATTGTCATACCTGAATGTCTTCCATACACATATGACCATAATCTACCTTGGATTCAAAACATATCATCATATAACTTTGAACGTCATTTGACCAAAACTCCACTAATCATGATTTAAATATTATCAATTTTAGAAAAATCCTTAGTCGTTATAAAAATCATACCCAGATATACAGATCGTCTGTAGAAACTCCAGAGAAGGTCCTTAAATTCAAACTATCTAATGTTAGTACTATCTTTGTAGCTGAACTGTATGCTCTCTATCGAGCTATAGAACTCATCAATCTGACAACAAACTGCAAACATATTATCTTAACAGACTCACTTAGTGCCATACAAAGCGTCCGATAACTTTATCCAAAAAACACGCTTTAAAAAAATTTGTAGTTCAAAATAACAGTAGTAGATAAGGGTCACTTGACGCCATGGGTATGTTGACGCCACTCGCAGTGTTGGCGCCATGACGTTGTAACGTACGGGGGGTTGTTGTACCGTATGAGGGGTGTTGAAAGTCATAAATACCAAGGAGCTGCGAGAGTCGTTTAGTAATTCAATTTGAAAAAGCAAAAAAATGTAAAAATACTTCAAATTTTGTCTAAGTTCCCAATGTGAAAAAATTTGTTGTAAAAATCAGTAACTTGGTTAAAAACAGTCATAAATACAAAGGAAATGCGAGAGTCGTTTATTAATTCAATTTGAAAAAACAAAAAAATGTAAAAATACTTCGAACTTTGTCTAAGTTCCCAATGTGAAAAAATTTGTTGTAAAAATCAGTAACTTGGCTAAAAACAGTCAAATACAAAGGTAATGTGAGAGTCGCTTATTAATTTAATTTGAAAAAACAAAAAAATGTAGGAACACTTCGAATTTTGTCATTCATAACGGCTTATATCAATCATAATAAGATAAATTTCGTCACGATCCCATCCCATATAAGAATAAAAGGCAACAAAACTGCTGACCATAGTGCGAAAGGCGCGATAGTGAGTGACGTTTCCTAAATCGTAAACACATTGCTATCAACGGATATAAAAGCTTATATAAAAAAAAATCAATCTTAAGTGCGTAGAAAAATAAATGGAATGTGTCGAATTTAAAATTAAAACAAGTGAAACCCAGCATAGAGACATGGAATGTGTTACCTACGTCAAGAAGCCAAGAATAATAGTAACGCGCCTCAGACTCAGACAATCTAGGTTAACTTAAAAAGTGTGAACCGCCGCGATGTGAAACGTATAATACGACACTAACAATAATGCACATACTATGCCCCCTGTACAATTAAAAACAAAGTAACAAGATACCAGGAACACTTATACTAGAAGCTCTAGGTGCAGACTGTAACTTTAACAATACTCTGAATTTTTTGAAAGACAATAATAAGTACCAAATAAATTTAATAAACCAAATTGTAATGTAGTAATTGTACCTAATGTTATTAATTTTTCGCTAATGACCATTTGGTCAATGCGATTTATTAAATAAAAAAAGTTCTTACCAATATTACCAGTAAAATCATCTACAATATCAGCAATAATCCCCATTACTAAAAAAAATGTTTACGATACGAAATCAACCATTCATTTCTCACAAATGAAATTAAATGTAAGGCACAAAAAAAGTGGCCGTCATCCAATTTATAAATATTTAAAACTTTATTCAAAGAAATCATTTAGTTCGTTTCATATTCAAGTAAATTATTTTGATTTGAAAGTTCATTTGCGTTGAACTTTACGTTTCAGTTTTATTTTTATTTTAGAACGTGAATGTTTTTGTATTTACAATGTGACATTTTATAGTAGAAAATTTTAAAATTGTATTTAGCCCAGGCACATGTACGCATTAATGAACACACATCAGAAGAGTTCGAAGTTAAAAGAGGAGTGTGACAGGGGTGTGTATTGTCACCACGAGTATTCAATGCATACTCTGAAGAAATTATGAAAAGAGCTGAGGGAGAAACAGCAGGAATCAAGGTCAATGGAACACCAATTAACCAATGTGGGGGAAAAAGTACTCTCTAATCCAGGAGTTATGTAATGTGGCCTAGGTTACAAAGAGCAACCTCAGGAGCAATCCCCTAGTTCAGTCAACAAAAAATTTTTGGTTATTGTTTATTTAAAAGCGTTTATAGGTGCAAAATACGTATTTTTGAGTTTTTTTCATTTTTTGCCTAAGGTAAGTGTTGTATTGGGTAATTTCTGTATAGGTTATGAAAGTACTCTATGATACCTTCAATTTAAGCCGGTATACGTCTAATTTAATTTATTTGTTATTGCAAAAATGACGAATAAAGGTCAAAATTAAAAAAAGTAATATTTATTGCAAAATTGCTTTTTTATTTTTATTTATATATATTTTTTTAATGAGCATTTTAGATTGCCATGTCCAGGAAAAAATACATTTTAGCTTATTACTTTCCTGTTCATTGAATTATTCCTAAAATTGTTTTTAGGATTTATCAAACAAAGTGTTACCTACTTTGTACTAAACCAAACACTGATAAAACATCGATTTATATGAAGGTAGAAGAGTTTCGTTCTTAGCTCCATTCACCACTAGATAACTTTTACAAGTCGTACTGTTTTTTGATGTGTGAAAAGATCTAATTCTACAAAATTAAATAATACAAGGTGATATTGTGCTTAAAATGTTTCATTTTTGATACAAAAATAACACAAAAGTAAGATTAAATTTAGGTTTTAGTCATTAATGTGTTGCTTGTGTGAGTCCATTTCAAATAGATAAAGAAATAATAAATAAGACTTACTCACAATCAATTTAATTTAACTATCAGACGACCGGTTTCGCTTTCTACAATATGCAAAGCATCTTCAGGTCTCGATACAAAGTTAAACAAATGCTGAAATGATAAAAACCCATATTAGGGTGTTGTCTAATAAAGATAAACAAAGTAGATGTTGAAAATTACAATAATTATGCCAATATTACATGTCTGTGGTTTTATTTCAAAAAGAGTAAGTTGAATAAAAAGGTATAAAAAGTTTTAAAAGTTTAAACAGAGAAGGTAAGGCCCACAAATTGTTATAAAATAGTCTAGTAGATTATAATAAATTAATAAATGAGCAAATAAATAAACATTACTTACATGCCGGTACTCTATTAATTGATAGATGGTAGAACATGGTTGAAACTACTATGTATTGTTGAATGGAGAACTCAATTCTGCTATTATAGTTGTATGATAGTAAACGGGAAGTTCTTGAGGAGATAGATTTGATCCAATGAAGCAGAGATATGTGTGTGATTGTTTGTTAAATGAAAGTAATGTAATATACCATTGTATTATTAAAAGTTATTTATACTTATTCCAGAGATATATTTATGAAATGTGTGTTATTTATTGAGTAATTGTTTTATGAAGGTGATAGTTTTATAACAATGAATAAGTTTAGATGTACAAATTGTGTGGGTGTGCAATTATTTTTCAACTTGTAGTTATCAAATCTCTTTGATAAAGTTCTATTGGCAAAATAGTAGATTACTGCAAAGTCAAGTAAATAAAATATTGGAATTAAAACAATTAAGGACAATTTAAAACACATTTGATGTAGATTGTATTCATCTTGATGTTTTTCCTTTTCGTCTTTGGTTTTATTTGCGAATTGCGTGCAAAAGCTACATTGGTCTTTTTTTGGTTTGTGGAAACCATAGTTAAATTCGGTGCTGAATATATGTTTATAATAATAAAACTACACTGAATCTTCTTGATACTCTTTGCAGTATTTTAAATAATCCTGGTAAAGTCGTTTTTCAGATGAACCAGAAGGTAAGTATTTCCTCTTGGTTGAACTTCGACAATAGTGAGAATCAATCACCGGTAGTGATTTGATGTGATTACGTACTACCCCCTTTTGATTATGTGGGATTTTGTTAGGGAAAACTTTTCGACCACTCTTGTCCTCCTTTATGATACCTGACGACTTTAACTTTTTTAATGCCGTTTTAATTTTTTTTCCAGATATATCAAATGTACCCAGAAAAAACTTTTTACATACTTGGATGTTCTCGTCATCCAACCTTAAATTGTACACCATAGTGTATTTGCGACTAGAGGCGGCATCTTCATTATTTGAATTATATCGCCAATTAGCAATATAATTCAAATATAAACAATGAATATAATAAACCACTCACGTTGATTTTAATAGACTTCAAGAAAGCTTTTGATACCGTGGAATTACCGGCAGTATTAGGAGCATTAGAACAAAGCCGAGTAGACTATAGATATACAAATTTAATAAAACATATAAACAACAACGCAACAGCATCTGTTAAACTCCATGACTTTACCGATAAATATAGAATTGAGCGAGGAATTAGACAAGGCGACACCATCTCCCCCCAACTATTCACTGCAGCTCTGGAATATGCCTTTAAAAAACTAGATTTGGCTAAAAGGGGAATAAATATTGATGGTGAATACTTAAGCCACTTGCGCTTTGCAGATGATATTGTCATTATAGCCGAGAGTTTAAATAAAGCTCACAAATGATGGAAGAACTAAAACAGGCAATAGAACAAATAGGCCTGAACATAAACTTTGAAAAAACAAAATACATGACCAATTTAGTTCCAAGTGGTGTTATGAGGGTAGATGGGAACGAAGTACATCAGGTCTTTAGCTATATCTATTTAGGGCATAAAATTAGAATAGGAAAAGACAATCAAACTTGTGAGATAGAGCGTCGCATAGGCTTGGTATGAGCAGCATTCGGCAAGATGCGAGATATTCTAAAAGGAACGCTACCGATTTGCTTGAAGAAAAAGGTTTACAACCAATGCATACTGCCAGTAATAACATATGGTTCCGAAACAATAACTTTAACCAAACATTCTGCATTCTGCAAACAAGAAAAATGGAAAGAGCAATGTTGGGAATAACTAAAAGAGATATGGCACCAAATAGGACAGTGAGAGAGAGGACTAAAGTGACAGAAAAAATTGCACAAGCCAAATGGAGATAGGCTGGACATATAGCACGTTTAAATGATAATAGGTGGACCAAAAGACTCATAGAATGGAGACCTAGAGAAGACAAAAGACACCGAGGCAGACCACCAAAAAGATGGATGGACGACTTGAGAAAAACAGTTGGAAATTGGATACAGAAGGCGCAAGATAGAGAACAGTGGAAGAACATGGAGGAGACCTATATTCAACAGTGGATGCAAGAGGTTGAGGAATGATGATGATGATGATGATCGCCAATTAGGTATTTTTTTCGTAATTCTACTGCTGATAAAGCTCATCTTGAATGGAGTAAAAATCATCAAATAATTTTTGCCTCTTTTCCTGGCTAATTTTTTCTGTACACCTATAGAGACATTTACAATTACCGGGTTTAACAGATTTTCCTCTAACAATTTTACCTTTTTAAGAAAGATGTTCCTTTCCAGAAAGTCTGAGGCTCCTTTGTTGATTGCGTTTCCAAGTTGATGGAAGCCTTTTGCGTTTACGTGACGTAGATGTAGATACGGTTTCTGTATTATTATTTTATAATCTTGCCTGAAGAAGGACCTGGCTCCGAGATATTCTGTGTAGGGGACACTACTGTAGACTGACTGCTGTCTGAAGTACTTTCAGTTGAACTACCAGGTGTGTATATTGGATCCAAGTCTAAGTCAGAACTAGCAAAAGGATCTTCTTTGCCAAAAGTCACCTAAAAACAAAACAATTGATAAGTGCACATAAGTGAAGTTTACATTCTAAATAATGTTATTTTTACATCGAACTATACCGCTGTTTAACCATATTATATTAGCATTGCCAATAAACTTTAAAAATATTACAATATTTTTATTTGTATAGCTAACAAATTTGTATAAAAAATAAATAATAAAACTCGTCAGTTTATCTTTAAATTAAATTAAATTAACTTTAAATTATGAAAATTCTATTGAAACACTATTTTATTTACTTTTAACTAATTTTTACTATTTTATTGAAACATTATTTATTGTAAAACTACCGATTTAAATAAACTTATATATTATTATTAGATAAATAACTTACCTGTTAATTAATTTTATTAATTTAAAAAATTAATTAATTAATTTAAAAAATTAATTAATTTAAATTAATCAGTGACATTAATCAGTGACATGATTAAGTGACATATCAGAGCTAAAGGGTTTACAACTAGACGAATTAAACGATAAAATAACAACAGAACTACTAGAAGCAGGCCTGAAGATTGCTAATAAACAAAAGCGAAAACAACAAAAAATTAGCGCTAAATCACAAGATATGCTAAAAAAACGACGACAACTCCTGAATGATAACAAAAGAAATACAGTGGAGTTTACCGAACTGAACAAAACCATAAGAAAACAGATAAAGGAATGATTTAAAGAAAAACCAAGAAGATCGCATTAAGAAAATCATAGAGAAGAACAAAAGTTTAAAAACAATGAAGACAAATATAGGAAAAAGAAAACTAATCATGCTTAAAGCTGAGAACAATAAAGAAAGAGATCTAGGAAAAATAGTAAAAATCACAGAAAGATATTACACAGACCTATACAGTTCTAAAAATGACCCACCACTGTCATCTAAACAGAATCTCTCGAGGAAAATACAAAATGTTGGCTCAGAGGTATTACCAGAAATAACTGAAGATGAAATCGAAAAATCCATACACGACATGAAAAGAAATAAAGCGGCCGGTGAGGACAAAATACTAGCGGAACTGCTCAAAGAAGGAGGAGACACGATAAAAAAAATGCTAAAAATACTGTTCAACAAATGTCTGTTTGAAGGTAAAATAACTAAACAATGGAGAAATGCCAACACAATCTTAATACATAAGAAAGGAGAGCGAACAGACCTAAACAACTACCGTCCTATTTCCCTTTTGTCACAACTATATAAAACCTTCACAAGAATAATAAACAACCGACTAACCTATAAACTTGATAACTACCAACCAGTGGAACAGGCCGAATTCAGGAAAGGATACAGCACAATCGACCATCTACATGCGCTTAAAGTCTTAATTGAGAAAACCAATGAATACAACCTTCCGCTGTACTTAGCATTCGTAGATTATGAAAAGGCTTTCGACAGCATTGAACACTGGGCGGTTAAAGAATCTCTGGTCAATAGTAGAATAGATTCAAGATACCGACAATTTATACCTGATATTTACCAAAACGCAACCATGACCGTAATTCTGGACGACAAATTAATAACGGATAATATAAAAGTTAAACGAGGAGTCCGACAAGGCGATATAATTTCACCTAAACTGTTTACCTTGACCCTCGAAGACATAATAAAATCAACAGATTGGGAAAACAGGGGAATATGTATTAAATCACCTTAGATATGCAGATGATATACTCCTGATCTCCTCGGAACGACAAGAACTGGAATTAATGCTGAATGAACTTAATGAAAAATCACTGCACAAAGACCTAAAAATTAACTTCAACAAAACAAAAGTAATGACAAACACGGAAGACCAAGAGGCAATAAAAATACAAACAGAAAAAATAGAACAGGTAAATGAGTATATCTATCTAGGACAAGCAATCAGAGCTAACAGAGAAAATCAAACAGTCGAAATATCGAGACCAGTAAGAATGGGATGTGCAGCGTTCGGCAAACTTTCTTACGTTCTAAAAAATCAAACAATCCCTCTACACTTACGAAGCAAGGTATATAACTCCTGTATAATACCGGTGCTCTCCTACGGAGCACAGACATGGACATTTACACAGGCCAATTTGGATAGGATAAGGAAGGCACAAAGAGCGATAGAGAGACAAATGTTGGGTATATCACTTAAAGATAGAAAATGTAACCAGTGGATCAGAACCAGAACAAAGACAGTAGACGCGATAAAACAAGCAGCAAAACTAAAATGGAAATGGGCTGGACACAATGAACGTCTCCAAGACGGACGATGGAACAATGCCATCGGAAAGTGGCGTCCATACAATGCAAAGAGATCAAGAGGCAGACCACAGATGAGGTGGAAAGATGACATCTGGAAACAAGGAGGTCCCACATGGCAGAGAACAGCTCAAGATAGGGAAAGATGGAGAGAACTGGGGGAGATCTATATGCAACAATGGAAAAATAGAGAATAGGTTAAAAAAAACTTACCTGTCTCAATTTCATGTGTAGTGGTTCATAGTAGCAACAGGATTCTACACTCAAATCAATGTACCCAATCAGAAACATTATTTTCATCTACAGATCGTACACATACACCCACTTGTCTTAAACCTATGCCCAATTCCATAAAAATTGTATATAAATTATCTTTCGATTATAACTACTCCCAGACAAAGCAGCTTTCAAATAAACTAAATTTATTACTTGTTACAATATTGAGTACCGTGAGACTTTGCTGAAACAGCAAACTCCAGCTAACGATAAGGTGACTAATCGACTGTATCATAATAATTTATCTATCTGTTGTTATATGCAGACTAAGCTCAAGCGTCTGATAGCTCTGTTCACCACTGAAAATATGTTCAGTACCCGGTGGTGGTAAGTGGCATAGATCACTTCACTTCAAAAAATAAGGATTGTGAATTCACTTAGCGTCCTTTCACACTTTAAAATATAAACCATTTGAAACAACATATTCACTTAGATCTCTTCACTACAAAATTAAATCTTTCTTTCTGATTGCGATGCTGCAGTTAGCTCATTTTTAAGAAAATGTGGGTTAGCTCTCTTCACATCTACGACGACGTTATTTCAAATGTATGACATTCAAGCCTATAAAATTACGAATCGAATGAGTCGTAGTAGGCCTAGATCACTTAATTTGTTGCTGAGATACGTTATTTAGTTTATCCCACGATCTTCAACTATTTAGCATATTTTTTTTAATCACGCAGGCTTTATTTATAACAATTAAGAAACGAATATGGCGTCATTTACTTCTTAAAAACCTATATTTTCATGTATTTGTGTTCTCCTTAAGTTAAAATCATTATTTATCATTAAAAATGAATAAAGTTTACTTTTTTTCAATGTAGCGCCGAAGCCGCATGTTTCAAACATTGCGTATGCCGTAAGCATAGCCATAAGGATTCCCCACACCGACGCGAAACTTTTGCGACGCGAAACCGTTGCGGAACATTCGCAGGCGGAGCACTATTAAATTCATTATATATAATATATAATGAAAACTTACCATTTTCTCCTAGAAATGACCCTATATTATCCCAGACTTTATCCTTTTTTCTTATATTTTTATAATCTTCGTCACTTAAATCATAAATTATAGGATATTGTTTCACAATTTCAATTAGTTTTTCTGTAACAGCCATTTTAATAATTCACGCGAAACTATAACTTGCTATAACTGCAGCGGAAAAAACCGTGCATGCAGCGTTTCATGAAACGTCAACGCTGTTCTGCCGCGACCGTTCCGGTTTCCGTCCGAACTTGTCTGAACACATGCATTAAGTCGCCGTGCCTTACGATTCGCCGCGATTCCTCTGCGAAAGTTTCGCGTCGGTTTGGGGAATCCTTAAAATGTACGATAATGTGCGAAAATTGTAATGGAGAGAATTGCTAAAATTGTCATACTGCTGAATATGAACTAGATGACGCAGAAAAAGAATGTGAGAGTGAGATGGATGTTTTGGATGAATTGTCATATGATTCTTAGGAACTTGTACAAAAAAGAGAAATAAATAAAAACTAAGCATATTTCTGATTTTGTAAATATTGAATCTCATTTTAAAACCATATAAATAAATAACAATTGTTTTACTGTTTATATCTTTGTTTTATTAATTTATTCCTTCTATCAAAATAATTTGCAATTTAAAATATATGTTTATATGATGTTTATTTTAATTTGTTAAACCAATTATTTAATTTCTCACGAAATTGTACTAAAAATCTAGTTTGACCAAAAGTTTTTAAAATCAATTTTTTTGAGTTCTTTTTTGTAAAATAGATTGTTTTTAAATAGAAATTTTAATCATTTAAACTTTACTTCAACATAATTTTTCACTGATAAAAGATTTCACATGAGGCAGAGTAAGTATTTAAAAAAAAAAAGATAAATACTGAAATAATATTAGTCCATATTTTGGAATATTAAATTTTTTTAGAAATGGGGATGTTGCATGGGGATGTTTTCAATAATAATTTGGTAGTAGATTACGTTTTATAGTATTGTAAAAGTAAAAGAATTGACAAAAAATAGAATTAAAAATTTTTTAGGGGGTTGGGGTTGGTTTTTTACGAGTGAAAGTATTCCAGATGTTATTATTTCGACGAGCTACCTCAGATTAAAAAAAATCATCGAAATCGGTTCATTTTTCACCGAGATATTGTTAATTTTTCTGAGCGTCGCCAGATTAATTTCTTAATTGTTATTAATAAATTTCACGAAAAAGCAAAAATTTTTGGTTTTTTTACCTTAATTTGTTAATAACTAAATAAGTTCAAAAAATCGACTGCAAGAAACATATAGGTTTTTGTTACAGAGGTGCATACTACTCAAAACAACTGTCGTTTGCCTGGCCGGACGAGTGTCAAAAACTGGGTACTTTTTTTGCTTATTTCCCTGGCCTATAATTAATTTTCGTGCCATATAGTTTAAATCGTCATAATATTGAGCCATTATTACTTGTATCGTCGGAGCGGGATAAGTATTTATCAAATTATACTTATCCGCTGGACGTTTTGTAGGGGCATTGTCTTGAAAAAGACAATGCCGAAGGGTTATTTATTGTAAGGAATAAAACAACCATTCTGAGTAGAAAAAAACTCAGCTTCAGAGTCTTTTTAAACTTTTTGCAGAGTCCTCCAACGAGGAGCCCTGCGGCTACTCCGTAAGAGTAAAACCAGAACTGAATGTAAATCGAAAATGTCCCATATTTAAAGTATATTTAACTTTTATATGAAACTTTTACGATTTTTAACCAATAGAATTTATTAAAACTTCCAGAAGGAGGGACGATGCACGTCAATGCGCGAGATTGCGGCGCTCGGCGACACTTGATCGCCATGAAGGTATAATTAAGAGCCAAAATGAAAAACAAAAGATGTTTTTTAAACTATATTTTTCAGAAACAATTATTCTTCTTTACTAACACTTACCTCCTTCTTTACATATGTTTTAAAGTAAAATTTTAAGAATAAACTGACCATAAAAAGATTTTGTGCAATCCACATATATAAAACATATCTCGGCATCGTTTTGCAGCCTGGAGTAAGTTTTGTTAGTCCGAAATAAATCCACATCATGTTTAGTTGTATCTGGAAAAGTTATCACAGTATATAAATGATAGGCTGCTGAAGAAAAAGAGTAAATAATTTAGTCAAAATAAGTTATGTATCTAAACTTAATCCTAATAATGTTTCTGTGTCCGGGTAAAAAGGGTATAAGTCATATTCAATAAAATGTAGCAGTGATACCATCGAGTTCTAACTCGATGAGTGATACATAAAGTTGATAATTTTTCGACTGTTCTAACAACCATTCAAATTTCGTCATTTTGTGTCATGTGGAACAATTTCACCCAATCATGTCAACATTAGACTGATAACTGCACTCAGTGCAATTTTTAATCCCTATGACAACACGATCGAGTTTGGCAACTTCATCCAAATAAATTTCAAAATGTCACGTTTCGGCAATGAGAATGTTCAAAGTATAAATGCGCTTATCAAAGAAAAAATTCCCAGAAATACAACCTACAGTCACAAATATATTTAAAAAGATAACAAATCACTCGAATAGATCAACTGCTGTTAGCGAATTAGCAAAAAGTGGTGTAGAAGAACAACAATTGCTAAAAATTACTGGTCAATGCAAATAGAATTCTATAAAGCCATACTTGAATCTCGATCAGGAACACCACAACAAGATTATAAATATTATGCGTGGTAATAGATCTTCTATAGTAGAGAACAGCAACGAATCTAATGTTAACTTAAATTTTAATAATTGTACTTTCACTAACTGTACTTTTAATAAATAAATGTTTCGTTATGTTTAGTTATGATTTTTTTTTTCGAAAAATTATCCGCCGAATATCCCTCGGACATTGATGAATGCCTCATAATTTCATGACAAATTTCTCAAGCTCGTTGCTTGGTAACAGCACTCAGCCTTCGGCTTCGTGGTGTTACCAAGGAACGAGCTTTCGATTGTCATGAAATTATCTCGTCTGTTATCAATGTCCTAGGAATATTACTACTGAAAATAGTATACCTGTTTTCTTTAAATCAATATAGGGAAAGTATGCCTATGATGGCATACCTAACTTCACCTCTCGTTTTTTTATAAAATATATGATCATATTTGTTACAATTTTTTTCTAGTTCAGTTGAATGTGGATGTGGATTTTTATATTAAAAAATTTAAATATCAAAAATGTCAAGTGTGCCATTATAGGCACATTACTTGCCTATGATGGCATGGCTACACAGTATAATAGAAAAAAATATGTTTGGTGGATTTTTTGCATTTTATTCAAAAAGAACAATAATACAACAAATAAAAAAGTAACGCACATTAAAACAATTAAGAATATAAATCACAATAAAATATTTTACATTTTTTATCGACCCCAGCGCATTCAGACTGACACTAGGATTAGCCCTCCTGACATTTAATCCAGCATTCTTTCGACTTTGGGAATACAGGTCATTACAATACAAGCAAGCGACGTCGGAATCATCATCTTCAAAATTTTCCTTACCGCTTGGAAAATTCCTGTTCCTTCTCATCATTTCTCTCTATCCCTTCTTTTGCCATTCGGTATAATGTTCGTTTTTCAGGAAAAGTGTCATCCACAGATTTCCGTTCTAATCCACTGTTGTACGTAACTTTTCCTTTAGGTCCTATCTTCTGTTTTATTTGTCGTTTAACTTTGTTTACCAATTTTCGTTTTCAATAACCTTACCTTTCAATCCTTGAATTTTAAGGGTTGAATTTATTACCCCTGTTTTTACACGATTTTTGGAAAGATACGGTATTTATGGCATTAGCAGGAGCAGTACTGTAGAGTAGAGCTGTTTTAAATAACCCAGCAACTTAAAAGTGCGTAATGAGTCTTCCAGGATTTTGTTTTAACCTATTTTTAATCTCTTGGTTATAATAAGTTTGTAGAGGACTCAAGTGTGTGGTGGAAAGCAGAAAAGAACAATACCATTCTCTTTCGCAACTTGTAAGACTTCCAGTCCCTTATGACTACTGTGGCCATCTAACAATAATAATATTTTGTTCTCATTCGAAGCTTTGGTATAGTGAATGAAATGTTTAAGCCATTGAGCTAAAATGTCTGAAGACATCCGCCCTTTCTCCTGGCAAAAAGCAACACTTCTCGGTAGAGATTAGAGACATTAATTTATTTTTGAACCTTTTTCTGGGAAAAATAAATGCAGGTGGTACAAAAGTACCAATTGCATTCATTGAACATGCAACTGTTAAATGCTGACCTCATTCCGCACTGTTCAGTGATCCAACTTGTTTTTCTCTCTTGGTTGCAGACACTTTTTGAGGTCTTGTTTGAACAGTACTAAGACCTAATTTATCAACGATTAATATAATATTGATTGAGAATTGTGTGTATCTAAAACTTTTGCTAAAGAGATAAAATATGCTTTAATATTGTTCTTATTAAGTGCTTGTCTCGAGCGAGAGATGTAATTTCTGGTGTTCTAAGTGAAATGGTACTATTTCTTTTTAAAAAACTCCTCACCCACTTCCATCCAGCAAGAGAGTCGTTTTGTTGAATTTGTGTTTGATGTTATTTCTCCCAGCAAGTTCGAAAAGTAATCGTCTCAAATTTAGCGTTGTGAGACCAAAAAATTTTGTTTCCATATAGATCACATGAGTAGCTAACTGTTGTTCAAGATGAGGAGATAGTGTAATTCTTCGGTCACCCAAATCTCCTTTTCTTCCACCGGAGTTGTGTGGAAAACGTCTACGGAGTGTCGTAGCAGGAACAGTAAAAGTTTTGGAAGCCAACAGTCATCCCATCTTCTTCTCTTGGATGTAATGAATTGCCGTATTAATGTTCTCTTCCGACAACTCCTGCCTATGTTTTTTGGTAGACGCCATATTAACAAAGCCCTTAAAATGCAACAAAACAAAGCCTTTATATCTGATATCAGGAGATATTAGATTGTTTACTGTTTACTGTTTGTGCGATTTGAAAAAATCAAATTTGTTTAAAAAACCCTACAAAATGGTATTGTGTGTCTACTTTTAACTTAACATAAGTATAAAGTTGAGTTTTGAAGTTTTTGCAATTATTAATAATTTTCCTTTGATGGCATATAACATGTGCACATGATTCCATAATGTGCCATCATTGGAACACATCTGCTATGCCGTCATAGGCAAGTACACATCCGATTTAAAGCAGAGCGTTATCTTCTAGCATCGCAATGGCAGAAGTTAAAATTCATTGTCTAGTGAAGTTTGATACTAAACAAAATTGCATACTTACTTCAGATATTTTAACTTCGGACGAGAAGCAGCAAAGAACTGTTTATGTTAACGTGCATCATAATAGTTCAACACTCAACAAATCACACTTTCCGCCACAGATTTATCTGTGAAACTAATAAGTGTTGGTAACTTTACCGTTGCAAATAAACACTGTCTATGCGCATGCCTATGCAGTCGATATCGTTCGATAAGGAGCCAGGGAGGCACTTTTTGCGCTAAACATCCTATTACAAAAATGCCGTGACCAAAGAAAAGATGTATTTGCATGTTTCGTGGACTTCGAAAAGGCATTCGATAAAGTACAGCATGTAAAATTAATGCAAATACTGAAAAATATCGGAATAGATGACAAGGATATTGGTGTCAATAAAAATTTGTACTGGAATCAAACTGCTATCAAAAAAATTGAAGATGACTACACCGATGAAATCCCCATACAACGAAGAGACAAGGTTGCATTTTGTCGCCAACATTGTTCAATGTTTACTCAGACCAGCTATTTAAAAAGGCACTTGAGAGACAACCATATGGAATAAACATCAACGGGGAACTACTTGATGTGATTAGATATGCAGACGATACAGCAATTCTATTATATAATATTGAAGGTCTTCAAATTCTGCTTGATCGTTTTCACGAGGTAGCACAGGAAATGGGCATTAAAATAAACTCAAACAAAACCAAATTTTTAGTGTTTAGTCGTGACCCACATCCCGATGCAAAGCTTCAATTGAACGGAGTCCTAAGTTGAGAAAGTTAACAAAATGACATATTTGGGAACTGTGATAACGGACCAACTAGATCCAGACATAGAAATAAAACGTAGAATAGCAATAACTAAAACTACTTTTATGAAAATGAAGTCATTTCTTTGCAATAACCATCTCAGTTTAGAACTAAGGCAAAGAATAGTTAAGTGTTATGTTTGGTCTGTACTTTTGTATAGTGCAGAAGTGTGGACGCTAGAAGTATCGATCATGAACAAAATTAAAGCATTGGAAATGTGGGTTCATAGACGAATACTGAAGATACCTTGGACAGCAAGAAAAACTAATGAAGAAGTACTAATGAGCGTCAACAAAGACAGAGAACTGCTAAAGACTGTTAAACATCGAAAAGTGTCTTATCTGGGACATATAGTAAGGGGAAGTCGATATAAAATTTTACAACTGATCCTTAAAGGCAAAATAGAGGGCCGTAGAAGTGTAGGAAGAAAACAAGTTTCTTGGTTAAAAAATATTCGTGAATGGTCTCAGATACCAAATGCAGGACAATTATTCCATATTGCAGAAGACCGAGAAGCCTTCGCAATGGTGATCGCCAACGTCGGATAGTTCTGATATGGCACGCGAAGAAGAAGAAGGTGTGTTCTTTTTTAGAATCACTTTGCCAAGTACACTGGCATTAGAGACACTAGACATATTTTATTATACAGATTGAACCAAATTAAAACGGAACATACAATTTAATACATGTCTGTTTGAACTGCATTTGAAATAGTGGACCAATATAAAACTTGGGCAAAAATAAATCCATACCTGGGTATAGACATTGTATAAAATATCGTTCAACTATCTGTCTCGCAACAAAGTTGTTTGCGTAAGACGGGTTTGTCTAAGGAAGCGATAATGGTTGAGGAAATGAAGCTCGAAAAAAGTTAAAACCTCGCAATTTTTCGTCCCGCATGTATCCAGTTCAAATGTTAACAGAAGGTAGGTGATAGCCCAAGGATCAAAATCTATATCGAACCGAAGTGCGCTGAAGAGTTTTAGGGGTGAAAACTACCCCTAATTGTCAAAAATCATAAAATAACATATTAAACCTGAATATGGCTAAGATTTGGTTTGAATTAGTTAAATAATGATTATTTTATACTTTTGAATAGAGTTCCATCATATTTCAACCCTTAAAAAGCAACCCTTGTTAGAGATTAATGTAAAAAAATTATTAATTCTAAAAAAATAATTTCGCCTTGGATCGATTTGGATAAAAATTTGGATTTAAGCTCAATTCAGCCGCTGCTTTATAGTTTGTCATGTCGACGAACCCTGATTGTTCTTAGGGGTGAAAACTACCCCTAATTGTCAAAAATTATAAAATAACATATTAAAACTTGAATATGGGTAAAATTTGGTTTGAATTAATTAAATAATGATAGTTTCGTGCTTTTAAATAAAGTTCCATCATATTTCAACCCTTAAAAAGCGACCCTTATTAGAGATTAATATAAAAAAATTAGTAATGCGAAAAAAATGATTTCACCTTGGAACGATTTGCATAAAAATTTGGAATTAAGCTCAACTCACCCTTTGCTTTATAGTTTATGTCATGCCGATAAACCCTGATTGTTCTTAGGGGTGAAAACTACTACTAATTTTCAAAAATTGTAAAATAATATTACAAATCTTAAGATGAGTGAAATTTGGTTTAGATTAGTTAAATAGTGATTTTTTTATACTTAAAATACAAATTCATACATTTTCAACCCTTAAAAATCAATTGTTATGAGTGCCATAGGTGACAATAATTTTTTGCCAAAATTTTGCAACTTTTCAACTTTTGAAAACCACCCTTTACAACATTGCAGTTTTTATAAACTAATTTATAAGATATAAATTGAAAAAAGTAGAATTACATACAAAAAAATTTATCAACATAAAAAGGCACCATATATTCTTATACATTTAGATAAATAGTTGAAAATATTTACATTTATAGGTAAAACAATTATAATATTAATTTTATTCGTCATCAATTACATCTTCATCGTAATCTATGTCATCTCAATGACATAGATTAATGTCACCTCATCTTCTTCAATTATTGGTGGACTGTTATTGCACCCTTTACCTGAGCACCCAGAACAAGTAGAGTTACAGTATAAACCAAATTTTCTGCACCCACATAAAACGCCGCATCCTTTTTTGCATTGGCAAAAAATAATTTTCAAAAGTTCATCGGGTGCAGGTTGTTTGTTCATGCGTACGGGTAATAACAAACCATCTTTGGAATACCATCCCCAATCTGTTGCTCTGATATTTTCATTGCCAAGCCATAGATATATGTGCAGATGTTTTATTCTGTTGTATGGGATTTCAAAATAAGAACGCTTAAAATTTCGAATGTATAACGCCCCACTAGCTAATATACCGGTTTTGTAGATTATTATGCTCCAAAATGTACTGTACTATAGTAATGGAATTTTCCGGAAAAAAATTAACTGGTTTTTTTAACGTATTTCCTTTAAATTTTAACGATAGAGTGTTTCTTCAAAAACGATTTGTAAAGGTTTTTAAGAGCTACAAGTACCTGTGAATTAAATCTTTCTGAACCCTTGGTTTTTAAATGGGGTGAGTTTAAAGGGCTCGAAAAAGATGGTGCTTGATCGTAAATCGATGCTTTAAACGGCTATATCTCGCCAAATATTCATTGTACAACAAATCTAAATAAAGGATAATTTTAGTCAAAAGCTACAATTTTGTAATTTTTATTTTTTTTCATATATTCAGTATTTTCGGGCATATTTAAAAAAAGAAGGGTAAAAAATATGAAATTGTAAATCGTTTCTCGCTTTAAGCTGTACTTTTTCTAAATCTAAGCATTTTAAATGGGTCAAACTTCTTGGACGTATTAACAATACATGTACAAAGGGAATTGCAGAAGGGTGAAGATCGATTTTTATTATGGGTGTGGTTAGGGGGTTGTTTTCATCGATTTTTTCGTAAAAAATGAGGTATTGATCTTATTTTCATCATAACTCACTCAATTTTTGAGCTAGAGTCTTTTTTTAGGATAGGTCTATTTATGCTCTTTAAAAAAGGTTTTGTGAGTTTTCTTTCAAAAATGCATCATTTTCCCGATATTTGACTTTGAATCTTTCAAATTTGGCATTTGAAGAAAACCGCTGAACATTGATAGGCCGTATTTCGGTTCCTATTACATCGCAAAAATATTTAAAAAAATAAATTGTATTTGTCTTTTTAAAAGCTACAAATTTGTTCTCTACAATTTTTTTGATAAAATGCACCATTTTCGAGTTATTCGCGAAAAATCGATTAAAAACGTGGATTTTTTCGTCTAAAAGTTGTTACTTTCAATCGCGAATAACTTGAAAAATATCATTTTATAAAAAAAATGTATAGCACATTTTTTGTTTAGAATCACTTTTTTAATCCAAACCTGTAGTTAAAACGTAAAAAAAATTTTCACCGCGGAGATGGGGTGGCAACCACCCCTTAGGCTTTGGCGCACTTTGGTTCGATATAGATTTTGATCCTTAGGCTATTACCTACCTTCTGTTAAATTTCAAGTCAATTCACGCAGCACGAAAAAATTGCGAGGTGAAATGCTTCATTTCCTGGACTATAACTGGTTTGACAGCATAATAAAATCGTAGATTTATGTGTAGCTTTTAATTTTTATGAGTTCAGAATTCAGCAGCCCGATGAAGTATGGGATTTTTATAATATAATTATTTGACAATCTTTTGTTGGCCAACCACCTACAGCAGAATTGAGCCGAAATACATTATATTCCTATGTTCCGAATTTATTTCGTTTAATCTGTATATGCGTAGAAATAATATTTAATGATTTCTATTAATGTTAACTTAAAGAAATGCACAATAATATCTTTCATTTAATTTGTATAAATGCATTATAAAGCGTTTTTATGAAGAACATTTGTTCGGAACACACTGTAAATATAATCGAACGAAGGTGATATTTTGGCATTAATTGGTAACACTTATTTGACAGTTGCGGTGTTGACATTTTGTGTGCTTTAATATTTTGAATTTTAAAGTGAATACTTCTTGTTTTATATTTTTACCTATTTAATAAAATCTGTTCTTTTTGGAACAAAATTAGTGTGTTTTTTTTAAATGCCACGTAAGAATTTAAATAGTCGTTGTAAAGAGGTGGTAATACTTTTGCAATAATTATGTGACCTATTTGATTTAAAATGGAGTCAGGATTTTTTTATGCTTTGGTAACTATGTCAACTTCGATCTCTGTCAATGATAATGACGTGTCACGGTAAGTAAATTAGATGAAGTATAAACGTGGCTTAAAGGTATACAAATTATAATTTCGTCTGGGAGGATTAAACTTAAAGTAAGGCTTATTCCCATTACAAATTGTAATTGCATTCTACACCTACTTGACGTGTGATTATTTTTCTTAAAAATTAGGCAGTAAAGAGAAATTACATAAATTACAATAAAAAATCATTATTATTATAAACAATGCATATTACAAAGTAATACTCACAATCTGTATTGACGTTAAAACCTTCTTTATTGTGACATTATCTCTCCATTTGGAATCTATAGCAGTCAATAAATAGTATATGTACATAAGAACATGTGTAGCGCAATTTAAAAGTCCTACTATTAATGTAGTATCTCCGTAATCGTATCTAAAATTTAGGAAAGCAGCCAAGCATATAGCCGAATGATGGTAGAGGTGAAGAAAACTTGCTTGTCTATAGCTTTTTCGTAATATAAAGAACATCTAAAAAATATTGATGTTTTAGATAAAGTTAATGCAGGAGTAAGAACAAAAAAAAATGTAAAATGTAAAAACCACTGGCGGTGACCATATTTTAGCACACGACCAAGGGTCGCAAAAGTTTGTTATTATAGCAAATAGATATTTAACGTCCTTAATGAAATATATGAGTCCTGCCATCTTCATTTACCAGGTGCTTCTTTAGAGGAACATGCTCAATATTCTCTACTTGGAATAAACTTCTTGTATTCCAAGATAATAATAATGTTGTTCTGAAGCTATTTTCTTGTGGCATTTTAAATTAATTACTATTTAACTGGGAATAAGCCACAATTAAAGTTAAGGTACGTTTATTGACGTTTCAATTTCCATTTCGGAAATCTTTCTCAAAATACAAACATTAATAAATTAAACAAATTTTGTTTTTTTGTTACTTAGTGAAAAATTCTTCTAATAATTTAATTTTATCTGACTCAGTTATATTGACAATTCAGACATACATTATGCATTTTAAAGTAAACGACCAAATTATTTTGTTCAAAACCAAACATAGCAATGAACAAGAGAGGACAAAGAATTGCATTTATGAGATACCTTGTGAATGCGATCAGTTTTATTTAGGTGAAACATCAAGGCCATTAAATGTTAGAATAAGAGAACATTAATCTTATATTAAAAATAGAGAATTTAATAGATCTCAAATATGTAAACATGCATGGGATAATGAACATAGGGTTCAATGGAATAATTCAAATGTAGTCCTAAAAGAAACGGATGGTAAAAAAAGAAAAATCAAAGAAGCGGCTCTAATTATGCTAAACGAGACCAATTGTATCGCAAATTCCTCGGCAGAATGTAGTAGGATCTGGTTGCCCATATTGAAAGAGGAAGTTATTAATACGAAAATAACAGTATTACCAAGTCAGTAATATATAGAGGATATATCATTTATGTTTTTTATATAACAAACATATAAAATCAGAATTTTGTGTGTATTGAAGGTAAACTAAATGCAGGACCAAATACGGGTCCTGCATTTAAAATATGTCGTCATATTGATCATCAAATATCATTAAGCAAATAGCAGTAAACAACGGATACAACGAACAAACAATTAAGAAAATATTAAATCAAAAACTACATAAGAAAGCCCTGAAATTAGTATTTCCACCACCATAGAAAAAACCCACTACCTTATGCTCGATTACATATACAGCTAAAATATCAACAAAAATAGCCAAACGCATAAAAAAGAAAGGAATAACACCAGCTTTCCGAACAATTAAAAACGTAGGCAAATATACCAAAAACAACAAGAGACAAAATAAAAAACACTTACACAGTGGTGTGTATAAACTTAAATGTGGCGACTACCCAAAAACTTACATCGGTTAAACTGGTAGAAACTTTAATAAATGAATAGCTTAACATAAAAAGGCTTTCAATAATAGAAAAACAGATTCTACATACGCACTTCACCACCTTCTAGACCACAATCATTCTTTTAATGACGAATTTAAAATTCTTCACATTCAAAATAAAGGCCTTAAGCAATCCTTGTTAAAATCTATAGAAATCAATAAATTAAAAAACAGAGATATAATTCTGAATGATCAACTTGAGACAAACAGTTCTCCCCTCCTCAACCTATTTCATTGGAGACTATAAAGTGTAAACCGAACAGCCGAAACCGCTGTAGTGATAAGAGGTTAAAATAAATTTTGTGGAAGATTGAAAACAAAGTTTTCAGTGTTTTATTGTTACATTTTAAGTTATTACTACCTGAAAACAACCAAGTTTACAGAAATACTGCAAGAGATCCATTTTGTTTAGACTGATCTAAAAAATTTTCCGGTTCGGAAAAATTTATTGTTACAATTTGTTACAAAAAATTGTATAACAAAATTTGAACAAGTTTTCGGTACGAAGTTATCTGACTTCAGATGTAATGTGAAAAAATTCTATGTAGACTTAAAAAAATAAAAACTAAAAATGTTACTTACTGTTTCAACAATGTCAAATAGTTTAAGAAAGTAGTAGTGTTTGCATACATTTGCAAAATCTTGTTTGGGTCTCGCATCTATACATATCCAATTTGGATTTGTAAAATACACATATATACACTAAAAAATACAAAAAAAAATTATAAAAATAGGCATGAAGAACTTTAAAAGTGTTGCTACTATTCCTGCAGCTGGGTACCTGTCTATACATATGTATGGAAGGGTGGATAATTAAAAATTATTCTATCTTATGTAAAATTTTTCACTAAATAGGAATATGCAGGTCCTTAACCTCTGTAGGTAGTACCTAGTTTTAAAAACAATTATTTTTATAAATAAATTTTCAAATTTTAATATTTTAATTTACAACCAGTCCCATCGTAAAGTACAACTAAAAATATATTTAAAATGCTATATAAAAAATATAATATATCTGTTATATAAAAAAGTTTATGGTTAAAGACATTTTAAGAAGTCGAGAAATCATAGATTTGGCCCAACTTTTAGTCCTTACAACTTTTTGCATAGTTGGTAAATATCAAGCTGGATTCACTCCAGAAAAATCAACAATTGACCAGATTCATTCAATAAGACAGATTCTCGAGAAAACATTAGAATTCAATATTAAAACCCATCACCTATTCGTCGACTTTAAGGCCGCATACGACAGTGTCAAGAGAACAGTGCTATACCAATCAATGCATGAATTTGGTATACCAGAGAAACTTATCCGACTAACTAGAATGACAATGTCTAACTTAGAAGTCACTGTTAGAATACAGGGAGAGAGTTCTAGATCCTTTGAGATAAAGGATGGACTCAGACAACGGAATGCTCTGGCTTGGCTCCTATTTAATATTGCCTTAGAAAAGGCAGTCCGAGATATACGAATTAGGGATGGCGGTACTATTTACAATACAGTGGAACCTCGATTATCCGTCAGGGCACCGGACCAAGGGTATGACGGATAATCGAAAAGACGGTTAACAGAACATCAAAAAAAATTATAGTATAACTCTCAAATTTTATTTGTATGTTTTATTTGACAATATAAGAGGGATTTATGTTAGTACAGTCGAATTAATTTGATTTAAAATATTCCGAAATCTTTGTTTGTTTTATTGTTACTTCGCATTTTGCAACGGCTGAATTTCTTAATCGACGTAAAATCATCAAATCTACCTTATTTGCTTCTTCTTGCCGATAATACCACTTAATGAATTGTTGCATGTGCGATGCAGCTTCTCTAGCTTTTACGCAAATCTTTGTGAGTTGCAATAGCATCATTATCGCCACTATCAAAGTCTCTGTCAGCATCTGAATCAGTTTCGTCCGCCTCTGTTGACATTTCCAACCATTTTATCAGCTGTCAGCAATCGATAGTCGTTTGCGTCCACGTCGCAAATTAACCAATCCTTTATGTCATCTTTAGGTAACGAAAACAGAAACAGTTGATTCAGCCATAACTTCATTTGTTACCGCATCACGCTGGTTTGTCACGGGGGCATTTTCATCTGGAGTTGATTTAGGCCATAATTTATTCCACGCAATTTTTAGCCTTACTTCCGAAACATCAGCCCAAGAAGATTATATTCTGACAAAAAAAATCCTCTTCCATAACTAGGTTTTGAATAAATTTTGTTCTGAATCTTCTATTGAATGTTTTAATGACCGATTGATCCATTGGCTGTATCAATGATGTTATATTCGCAGCCAGAAAAGAGCACGTGATATTTTCACTTCGCAGCATTCCAGCTTCAGGGTGGGCAGGTGCACTGTCCAAAATGAGAATCGTCTTTGGTGGCAAATTTTTTTCCTTGCAAGTATTGTCAAACGTCCGGTATAAAAACTTAAAAAACAAGACGTTAGAAAAAAGAGATAAACAAATTTTGGTTTGCAGTACATACCTTTTTGAACCAGTCAGCAAATATTCCCTGGGACATCCATGCATTATGTTGTGCTTAGTAGTTAACGGAAAGCGTGTTCATATTTATGCCCTTGAAACAACGTGCTTTTCTACTGTACCAATCAATAATGTAGGAAGGTGATGGTCACCCCTTGCATTTGAACATATCATTGCTGTGATTCGTTGCTGTTTAAGTTTAAATCTTGGTTTATATTTTTCAGAAAGTGCAGCGAGTGTTTTCGTTGGCAATGTTTTGTAGTTTAAACCAGTTTCATCTGCATTGAATACTTAATCGCGTGTCAAACCATATTCATCGATCATATCTTGAACCTTTCTTTTATATTCGTCAACGACTTCCATACTTGCGATGGTAAATTTTTCACCTTCGATTTTCAGTTCGGATCGCAATTCAATTTCATGTTGAGAAACAACACTTTTTCTGCCACAATTGGTCCAGACAAAGGATCACCTTCGCTTCTTTTTTGAACGAACCACAAATACTAAGTGACACAATCAATGTTCGAATTTGAATCAAATAGACTTATGTTAATACCATCGTAATACACAGGTATTGACTGGAATAATTATTGTGCTCTGCGTTTTTATTTTCGGCTTGCGATTCTAAAAATGAACCTCTAAAAGCATGATATCATTTATTATTACCTATTTAAATTGAAATTTAATCCAGAGCCCTGAATAAGAAAAATAATTATTTACATACAAAAAGCGGTGGTGGCATAACTTCACGTGTACATTTCAACGAATTTAGTTTGGCTTATCGCAATGCTCAAACAAAGTAAATTGATGACTAAATTTTTACTTATGTTGTCAATATAACTTATCTATGGACCCTGACGGTTAACAGAGGTGACGGTTAATAGAGAGACGGATAATCGAGGTTCCACTGTAGATCGATACAAGTTCTAGCATATGCTGATGACATTGACATAGTAGGGCGTAGCAAGCGAGATGTTGGGCAATATCTCCTAGAATTGGAAACAGCGGCGAAACAGGTCGGTCTAGTCATCAACGAAGACAAAACGAAGTACATATTGGTTACAAAGGATACGATAGCAAATGAGGAACGAGAAACAGTCTTTGGAAGTCATACCTTTGGACGTGTTGACAACTTCACATACCTTGGGTCGCTATTGACTGCTACCAATAAAACAAGCGAAGAAATCAAAAGACGAATAAATCTTACAAATAGGGCATACTATGGACTCCAAAAGCATTTCCACTCAAGAAACATTCAAAGAAGAACTAAAATTATTATATACAAAACATTGCTGAGGCCGGTCCTCACATATGGAGCAGAAACATGGACTCTAACATAGAAAGATGAAAAACTTTTGGGAATATTTGAGCGTAAAATACTCCGCAAAATATTTGGAGCTGTAAACGATCAAGGGCAGTGGCGCAGAAGATATAATTTTGAATTGTATCAGCTCTTTGATGAACCAGATATAACGTTCATTAAAACACAGCGACTTAGATGGGCTGGACACATAATACGAATGCCAGAAAATACGATTGCTAAAAAGCTAACCACAGGAACACCTGTAGAAAAAAGAAGCAAAGGCCGACCGCGAATTAGGTGGTTAGATGGAGTGGAAACCGACTTACGAATATTAAAAATCAGAAGATGGCAACATGTTGCCAAAAACCGAACAGAATGGCGACGAATCTTAGGGCAGGCCAAGATCCACAGAGGATTGTCGAGCCAAAGATGATGATGATGGTTTCTAAAAAACTGATACTACTCTTAAAGCGTATTTTGTAAAAAATTAAGCAGTGTATTTTGAATGATACTTATTATTTACATACTGTCTCTGTTACTGCCAAATCTTAAAATTTGTCAGATAACTTATTCTGTCCATCCTCAAAAAATGGCTCCACAAGCTAGCAAAGAACTAAAAGCAAGAATTATAACGAAATTAGAAGATGATTGGTCACTATATTCTTCTTCTTCTTCATGTACCACCATGAATACCATCATACCATCATAGCTATCTTCATTTTATTCACTGCCACCCTAAATAACATGTTTGTATCAACACCATACCAATCTCGCAAGTTCTTCGAGCATGAGGTTGAGGTCTTCTCTGTCCTGGACTGTGTACAACTGTATTTTTCCATACATGATATTTTGTAGCAACCTTTATTTTTGAACTCTCATTACATGTCCGAAATACTCCAGTTTTCTCTGCTTGATGCTTTTTATGATATCAGTAGTCTTGCTGAGACGTTCTAGTATTGTGGAGTTTCCAATCTTTTCCACCCAAGAAAATATTAAAATTCTTCTATAGCATCACCTTTCGAAAGTCTCAAGGCGATCTAGATCGATTTTGTTTACAGTCCAGGACTCGACACCATAAAGTAAGACCGGGAAGACGTAGCAGCGCATTTTAGCTCTCTGTTACATAACACCTTGGACGCCCTTCTAAAAGCAGCTCTAGACTGCTCTATCCTGGATCAAATTTCGCTGTGACTTTCAGCGTTACAATTTAATTGCTGTCCAAGGTAAACGATTTTATCAACTTGCTTAAGTTTGGTATTATTTACATATATAGACGGACGTATTTAGTTTTCCGTATGTTCAGATCCAGACCTGATTTCTTACAACTCTCAACGGTAATTTCAAGTAGTGTTTGCAGATCTTCTTGACTAGAAGCTAGGAGTACTGTTGTATCGTTCGCATACGGCATATTGTTGATGACTTTACCGTTCACAAGCATTCCTTCTTGTTGTTCAGAAGGTGCTTTTCTGAAAATTCTTTCGGAGTAAACGTTGAAACGCAGGGGTGACAAGAGGCATCCCTGCCGTACTCCTATTTTAATATTGAGAACATGTGATTCCACACCATCTACTAAAACTGATGTTGTTTGATTCCAATATAAATTTGCGTTTATTCGAACATCTCTGCCATCCAAGCCAATGTCTTTTAGGGCTTTGATTAATATAGAGTGCGATCTTCCCTGTGCAGACTGGCCCTGATTTAATACGTGCCAAACAAATCGTAGAATCCAAAATAGGATTTATGAACATTCCATTTCTGTTCGCAATTTCGATTTAATTTCAGCTCTCGGCCAACACCATCTTCATCCAGGTCACAAAATTGATTTTAAAAACTCCAGAACCATAGCCCTAATCCGCTTCTATAAATCATGAATTATCCAAGAAGCCATAGAGATAGAAAAAAAAAAGAAAAAATTGTCTTAATAAAAGAGATGACGCCATATGGTTATCTTCTACATGGAGACTTCTCATAAAGAAAATAGCGCCCCCTCCATCTCTAAATCAAAATCCCACTGTCGGAAATGTTCGTGCCAACTCTCGCGCCAATCCCCACTCTAACCCTCACCTAGGCCACGTCACCTTTGACGGTATAAATGAACCGTCTCCTGGTCCCAGTTGTAGTAATGAAAGTAAAGTGACTTTTGAGTGTAGCAGTGTCTGGGAGCTCGGGAGACTGAGACCTCGGAAGCCCTGAATAAGACATCAGAGAGGATGTCGAAAGCTAGATTCAATGGATATCGACGCGGTTCAACCCGGAAGACTGGTGAGTTTAATATTAATTTTTATAATAGTACTAATATTAGCTCTAGGTTTAATTGTACTAACCGCGGAAATCTTTCCGAACATATATATATATATATATATATATATATATATATATATATATATATATATATATATATATATATATAAATATATATATATATATATATAAATATATATATATATATATATATATATATATATATATATATATATATATATATATACATATAAATATATCGATATTTCGGCTGTTTGAGTAAGAATGGGATGAGCAGCGTTCGGCAAACTTTCTTACGTTCTAAAAAATCAAACAATCCCTCTATATTTACGAAGCTAGGTATATAACTCCTGTATAATACCGGTGCTCACCTACGGAGCACAGACATGGACATTTACACAGGCCAATTTGGATAGGATAAGGAAGGCACAAAGAGCGATGGAGAGACAAATGTCGGGTGTATCACTTAGAGATAGAAAACGTAACCAGTGGATCAGAACCAGAACAAAGACAGTAGACGTCATAGAAAAAGCAGCAAAACTGAAATGGAAATGGGCTGGACACAATGAACGTCTCCAAGACGGACGATGGAACAATGCCATCGGAAAGTGGCGTCCATACAATGCAAAGAGATCAAGAGGCCGACCACAGATGAGGTGGAAAGATGACATCAATTGCCATAAAAATTACTTCTGTTAACGATATTTTACTTTAAATTTTACATTATATGTGGATATATACTGGCTAAACAGCGTTGTGAAGAAATATAACTTATTTTATTTTGAGTCGCGTTTTTTGCTCACAAGTGTATATACTTAATAAAAAGTATACTTACTTCATAAACAATATAAATGTTTACTAAAATCTGGATTACGTTGTAGCCAATAACAAGATTTTTAATATTATACGGCTGTCTATGTTGCATTAGTTTTGGTCCAAGTACTCTAATAGAAAAAACATAAAAGAGGACAAATGAACAGAAAAAGTCTGGAGATGAAACGACATAGTCTTCATGTTTTGGATCTAAAACAATATTTGCAATATATATGTGACAGTATTCATCAGATACATAGCAAACATATCGCACCCTCAGTGCAAGACTGCAGTAACTCAAAATTTTATAAAAATGAAGTAGTCATGGAATTCGATTGTAAACATGCATATCTATCCCATGTAAAACTTTAGTAACTTTCAAATGCTTAACCGGCTAAATATTACAACAACAACAGTTTAACTATTTTACGTTTTTGTACATAAGTTCCGTGCAAAACTGTTAGCCGTGTAACTCTAATGTAACAAGAGTTACAACAGTTTTGCACGGAACATTGCAATGGTTTCGATAACAAGCAATAAAAAAAGTAAGATATTTGTTATCTAAATATCTATATCTGTGGTGTTTAATTATAATATGCAGCCTGTCTACGTAATTCATTAACAACTGAGACAATAAACAAAGATTTACGATTTACCAATTTATTTATATAAGTTTTATATCCTTTGTGTGACATTATATTTTCCATAAAATGTGTGCGATTTCATTTGACCATTTATTTATTAGATTATATTAAAAACACATGAATTAAGACTAATTATTTAAAGCCACAAGGTATTTTTTCTTAAAAAAGGAAAATAGTTATCTTAAAACTTGTGTATTAACAATACTGACAGGTTAAAAATATCTATTCTTAAAAAACTTGTTCTATAAAAACTAAATCCCAAATTGTATTAAATCTTCATGTAACCTTATGGGGCGATTGTCTTATCATATTATCCCCCGTAACTTTTACTAAGGTAGTGAATTTCTATCCTTTTATTAATCACTGTACTGAAGGTAGCCTGATTTGCATATTTTTATTAGTACTTTTGTTTTAAATTTAAATAAAATATTGAAAGTTTTACAAATAATTTTTCTTCCCTATTACGGCCTTGTCATTACAAAGTCAAGGAATTGCGGCTATCAGAAACATGTGCAGACATATAAAGGTACCTATTTATTCTAGGTAGCTATCTGATTTCTTGGAATATATTAAATGTAAAGTTTAATACCATACTAAACCTCGATTGCTGTTGGGGATTATTTTTTTTATTTACTCGATGATTTATTGCCATTCGGGTATGATACCAGAAGCCCACCGTAGTTTTTACAAAAATATTTTGGCCCAAGATGATATAGGAGAAGAGGGCAATAACTAACAGAAAATGTATCTACACTTTTTACAATTCTCTCCGTGCAAAAGTGTTGTAACTTTAAAATTCTAATACTAAATGTGTAGTGATTAACAATTTTCTCCGTGCAAAAGTATTGTAACTTTGAAATTCCTATTTTTTTAGCCTAGGCTGAAAAGCATGCAAAATCATAATTAAATGTTAATTTTTTTTTAAAATTGTCTCTTATTTCACCGATATTAGCACGAAAATAAACAAAATCGTCTTTATCTCGAAACTTATTCTGACTTACTGCAGTCTTGCACTGAGGGTGCGATATAATTCAAATAAATTTATCCGTATTTAAATCCGTAATTACTGCAAAGGCTATACCGGAATAAGATGGTAAAATCTGCAGTGCGCTGGATTTTTATTTGGGGTTAAACACTTGAAAGTACATATTTAGAAATCCCTTTATCCAAATTTGTAGCTACCTAGGTGGCTCCTGGGGTCCCCTATCGCAAAAAATGTGTTTTTTCGAGAAAAAAAATTCTTTAGTGACCCCTAGCTTTAAAAAACGTCAAAACCCTTATATATTTTTTACATTTTCTGAACTAGAATTAAGTTAGGCAAAAATAATTGAATTTTTTTTAAATTTCAAGCTTATGGAGGTAATTTTTGGCAAACTTTTAATTAGATTTTTCATTTCCCTCCATAAAATTCTCAAAATTTAAAAAGAAACTGATTTTCTTGATAATTTTTCTATGTTTTAAGAGCATAAACCCATTTTAATTTGACAAATAACGATTTTTGCTTCTTTCATTTCTTTATTCGAGCAGTGATAACCTATTGACTTTAAGGTAATGTTTATTTACCTTAATGTAAATTAAATTACATTCAATTACTTTAACTTAATTTATAAATACGAAAAATGTATATTACATACAAAAATGGTAATTTCGACAGAGAAATCGAAAGTAAGATAAAAAAATTATTATAAAAAACTTTTTCATAATAAAAAAATTTATCCGTTTGTCACATTTTGGGCGTGTTCTGGTCTGAAAATAGCAAAATTAATTGCTTTGTTAATAGTAACAAAAAAAACATATCCAAAATTCTTCTTTATTAACTTATACTTGATATTATGTCTTCAAACCATGGCAAAATCATAAAAAAAGGTTTTTTTTTAATTTTGAGGATTTTTCTGAACGAAAATGGAAAATTTAATCCTGTCATTCAAAAAAAAAGGAAAAAAACAAACAAAAAATAATTACTTAAACATTTGCCAAAAATTACCTATGTACATAACCTAATATTTTTATAAAAAATTTACATTTATAAACATTTTTTTCGAGCTCAATTTTAATCCAAAAAACTAAAAAACTAGAATGTCTTTAAACATGAAGACGAATATCTGTTTTTTCAGAAGTTTTTTCAGATTTTTAAAGCGAAAGACCGCTTAGAAAAAATTTTTTTCCTAAAAACACATTTTTTGCGATTGGGAACCACAGGGGCTATCTAGTGAGCTACAAATTTGTCTAAAGGGGTTTCTAAGCATGTACTTTCAAATGTCCAACCCGAATAAGAATACAGCCAAGTGCATATTATTTTATCATGTTATTCCGTCGTAACTTTGGCGGAATTGTCTCCAAGTGTGTTCCAACGAAAATTTGTACACCCCACCCCCGAGAAGCTGAGAAATCAAGACACATGTCAATTTGTATTGAAAGGGGGACTACTTTTCATGCAAAATTCATGATCTTAAACGTAACCCCCTACTGCCCAGCATCAACCCTCCAGTTTTTTTAATAGCGCATATGGTCGAGTGGCACAGTATTTGAAAGGTATTTTTTTTTTCTCCACACGACAGTCTATTTTTTTTAATAATTTACAGAATAACTTAGAAAATAGTTTTGAATTTAACTAGTTTATTGGTTGCACAAAGTAATCACAAAAAAAACATAAAATTCCATCAAATTATAAACCTCCTGTCACCTCCATACAATAATACAGTTTACTTTCAAAAGCCTCTTCGTACATTTGCAAATACCTTCGGTGTCACTAATAGGCATTCTGTCAGAATTCTTTGTCCCAACTCTGCAAGATCTGCAGGAGGAGTGGTGTATATTTTTGATTGTGGGTATCCACACAAAAAAATCCAAAGGCGAAAGATCCGGTGATCTGGCCGGTCATTCTATTGGACCCTTTCTGCCAATTGAACATCCTGGAAAACGTTAATTCCAAAAATGCCTTACTCGTATATCAAAATTTTGGGCTACCCCGTCCTATTGGAAAGTCAGTTCATTCTCTAAACTTAAATAAGTTATTGTGTTGAGATTTCCTTTAAGAAATAAGGGTCCAATAACGTGATTTCGTAAAATCCCAACCCACACATTTAATTTCTGGGGTGTTTGTATATAATGTCCCTATGAATAAATGAGAATGACTGTTACTCCAATAACGACAATTATGTCTATTTACTACACTATTTATCATAAAAGTACACTCGAAAAAACACGTATTTTACAATTGAAGTTGGTTGTAACTTAACTGTCCAATTTTTGTAATCCTTTACAATAATATTTCTGATTAATTAGTTGTTGACAAATATTAAATAGAAGTAATCTGGTAAACATTTAAAAAGATAATTAGGATTCATCAACTTTAAAATAAAACTCATATGAAAAAGTGATATTTTTACAGAAAGAAAAAAAAATATGTTCAACACAACGGCGGGTTGATATCGATTTGCAGGTTGATTTAATTATTGTATTGGAGGTCATTAAAAACATTTAATTAGTATTAACTAAAATGGTGAAATTTTATGTTTTTCTTGTTATTACTAATATTTAATTCTAAAATTACCTTCAAAGTTAATAAGTTAATTAGAAGAAATAAAGTGTCGTGTAGAGAAAAAATTACCTTTCAATGTGCCACTTCACCACACTTGATAGGGCATGAATTTTGAATAAAAATTCGTCCCCCTTCCAATACAAATTGACGTATTTTCTTGAATTAAAAAAAAACTCTTGGTTTCTGAGTTTCTAGGGTGGTTAATTTTTCGTTGGAACACACTATATCTAATTGTAGCAAACGCAAATATAAGTTTAATTATACAGATGAAAAATCGATATTTATCGAAAAAAAATCTATTTTAAAAAACGTAAATATTTTAAATCAAAATAATGAAAACCTCTTACCAATATTACTAGTAAAATCATTTAAAATGTCTGTTAAAATAGCCATTCTCAAACAAAAAATTCACAATCCTAATGCATCCATAGACTTGTCAAGAATAAAATCATATATGCACACAAAGAGTTGAGTTTTGCCCTATTCATAAATAGGTAATTTTATGTAAGTTTATAGTGAAGTGCATTTTCTATTCAAATTCATTTTTTATTTGCATAATACAATGAATGTTAATTGTTATGCTTTCCGTTCCAGATAATTGGTAATTTTAACCAATTCCTGCAAATGACTAACGTTTGTGTTTAACCCAGATATGCCCATTATGTCTACTTGTGATTTTAATTCTTTTTTTTATAATGGTTTAATTTAGGCTAAACTAAAATATATTAGACGAAAATAAAATTTATTTTTTTGATAATTATACAAAATTTTGGGCGTCCTATATATAGGACGATGGGCACTTAAGGGTACCTACATTACCTATACACTTTTTATATGGTATACCAAAAAACATTTGACGTGGAGTCCTTTGTCGCATTTTGAACATCTGGTGGTTGTTTTTTCATGGCAATGTGCAAAGTGTGTTTGCTTATTTTGAGGAATTACCAAATGATCCATATGATCAAACCTAATGTCTAAACCAGTGGTTCTCAACCTGTTTGTGGCGACGGAACACTTTTAATTACCGAAAAAAATTGCGGAACACCAAAGCAATAACATGCATATATTGATAAACAAATTACGATTAGCACATAAATTCTGTAATAAACTTTATTATACGTACTCAAATTTGTAAAATTTTACTTAAAATATGAAAACAAAAAACATTTTTAAAATTAACAAAAGCGTAATTCTCAAAATACATCATATGAGTAAATACTTCAAATTAGTGAGACACTTGTGCCTGGTCTCGTTTGCAAATTTGCTTAATATCAGGCCTGATGTGGGAAAGAGCTAGTCTCATTTCTTGTTCTAAGTTTAGCAGCCTTTCTTGTTTCTTATTTTTAATGTTTGTTAAAGATGAGAACCCAAATTCACATAAATAGGACGTTGAAAACTCTATTAAAATACTAATCGCTTTTTTTGGCAAGAAGTGGATATTCCTCTTAGACCAAGATCCAAAATTCCTGAACATTCAGTTCTGAAAACTTAATTTTCAGAGTACGATCAAATGACAACGAAATAAATTCTTCTTGGTTCAGAGAAAACTGGAAATTGGCTGTATTACTTGTGCTAAAAGGACTTCTTATCTAGTCATATTTTTCTACGTTCAGAGATGGAAAATACCTGGCAATTGTCTCCTCTAATAGTGATAAGTGTTTTTAACTATATGCGTGATTTCTTGTTCTTTATCTTCATCACCTTCATTCTGAAGCAGTGAAAACATATCCATTTTATTTGTCTCTAAAATGCGCTTCTTCCAAAATGACAATTTTTTCTGAAAAGCTGACAGCTTGTCCGTGGATGTTAAAATATTTTTATTTTTGCCTTGCATACTTGAGTTAACGCCATTTAAATAATTAAAAATATCGGCCAAATATGCCACTTTAGTGCACCATGCATCATTTTCAAAATATGTGGTAAATGTGTCATTACCTTCTTCTTGGAAAAAAGTTAACAGCTCCGTTCTAAGTTCATAAATTCGACATAATACTTTGCCCCTTGACAACCATCTAACTTCGGTGTGCAGCAACAAACATGCATACTTTGATTCCATTGAGATGCAGAGTTGTTTAAAAAGACGGGTTTTTAGTGGTCTTGATTTAGTGGTTTAGTGGTATTTGATGTAATTCTTGACATTAACCACTTGGTCTAATACAGATTTCAAAGTAGCTGGTAGCGTTTTTGAAATTAGAGACTCTCTATGCAAGAAACAGTGCGTAGATATGATATTTTCATTTCGCTTTTTTGCAAGGGTACAAAAACCTTTTATGGAGCCTACCATGAAAGGGGCACCATCCGTACAAATTCCTACGCAAAAGTCCCATGATATATTTTTTTTCTCTAAATATGACGTTATGGAATCAAATACATCCTGACCTGTTGTACGTGCTGTAAGTTCTCTGCAGCATAAAAACTGATTGACTATTTCACCTTCGTCGACAAATCGAATAAATCCTAATAAATGAGCTTTGTCACTAATATCAGTGGATTCGTCCACCTGCAATGCGAAGTTTTTTTTGTAAAATTTATTTGTAACATTTTCCTCAATATCTGCAGATAAATCAACAATCCTCCTTTTTATTGTATCATCCAATCTCACAACATGCTGGTAATATAAGAGATTCTGCAACAGTGTGTGGTTTCTGTTTCAAAGCAATTAATTCGGCGACCTTATATAAAGCTATTTGTGCTTTGTCGGAAATTGTTAGCGACCTTTCAAATTGTTTCGCTTGTTTAGCTTGTGTCTCCAAACGTCGCTTGGAATAATCTTTATTTTTTGAAGCTACACTAGCGTGTTTGGTAGTAAAATGGCGTTTTAATTTAGCCGGAGCCATTGCACTATTAGTGAGTGTCTGCCCATAAACAATACACTTGGGAATTGGACAGTCTTCTTCCACAGTCCAAATGAAGCCATAATCCAAATATTCATCCAAATATTGCCAGTTCAACATTTTTTTGCTGCGCTTCGATTTGTCATCAACCCCACTTCGTAAAGTTCCAGTATCTCCGCTGGTGCTCGCTTCATTATTATTAATTATGAGTTGTTCCATAGTAGTTTTTCTTTTAAGTTTGAGGAACTTATCCATTTTAATTTATTCGTCTCTAAACAAAATAATGCGGATGAATGCTTCACATTTTGTATAAAATATGCAATTACTTACCTTTAATAGATAAGCCGTACGTAAACGTTATCATAAAAAAACTGACACAACGATTTTCACGTATTACGTTTGTGCAATGTAACAAATTCAACATTCAGTATTCAGTTGCAGACTGTGGCGTGGGTGACTCAGATTGGCTGTGGCCACTGCGGAGCTCAGCGCTCAGCGCTTATAAAATCCAACGTGTGCACTGTGCCGACGCGGTGTTGTCACGTTGGGCAAATGAACATTTACGCTGCAGAATTTTATTAAATTAAAATGTAAGTGGCTATTTTAAAATTTGAAAATATTTATTTGAAAAGAGTAATTTTGCAAAATGGTATGTAGTATTGCGAGTATTTCGCGGAACACTTCTGATCTAGGTCCCCACCTCGTTGTCTATGCAACTGCCAAGCATTTTACAGAGCTATATCAATACAGTGTGGCACCAGCGGATAATACCATTTCTTGTCCTCAATGAAATTCTATAAAGGCTCAAATTTTGGTCACATCTGTATACTACTCCCATGTTTGCATTGTACAAATTTGCAAAATAAAAACTAAATGCGTTTGTAATATTAATCTAAAAAACTATAACTTACCTAAATATTTGTCCGTTCTTTTTGTGAAAATTTTTTCACCCTATGCAGGGGGTTTACGCCTACTGCATTTGAGCACAGAGTGACAATGCTGTTGTCATGCCACTTCACGACAATAATGTACTGGTTTTCTGTTTTTTTTTAAATCGAAAACGCCTCGAGCTTGCTTTTTCATTTATTTTTTTTTTTTGAGTTTGTTAGTGGCCCATTAGGTATGCGATTTTCACGTGTTGTGCCAGTAGCGTCGAAAGTTTTTTTTAATAGTAATTCTAACAAAGATAACGTGGAAAATAAATTATCAAAAAATAGGTGCATTTGTTTATTAGGCCACCTAGTTCTTAAGACGTTGGCATACTCCAATACAACATATGTACCTATTCTATAATCAATATACTGTTCGCTATTATTTGTGGTAGCACCTTGGTAAGGTTCCATCCAATTTACGTAGCCTAATCTACTTGCTTCTATCTTAAGTTTGTAGCCATAGCGAATTGGCGTATTGTGAAAAAATTTTTTACAGCCATGGCGGCCGAAATATGGTACCATGGCTTCGTCAACACATTGTATTTTTTCACATTCAACAAATTTAAAAAATGCAGCATTGAGGTGATCAAACAATGGCCTAACTTCAGCAAATTTGTCGGATGTATTTATAGTGACGTTGTCAGTTAGGTGAAAGTGAGATAAAATATATTCAAATTTATTCCTTGACAAAGCTTCAGAAACCAATACATTTTGACTGTCTCTCTCGTTTTCCCAGAACATTCTCCACCTCGAAACTGGCACATATTTACTGAGTAATAACACTCTAATGAATGCTTTTATCTTACGTTTTCCTATTTTCAGGCAATGGTTTTGTTGCCCTGCAGATAGATTTCATTCGACAACTATTAGGTCCAATATTTTGTCAGCAAAAAAATAAAGAAAACATGTCTAATGGGGTTTTCAGATGTATTTCTTCTTCATCGTTACTTAATTCTTTACCATCATACACCAAATCTTCGGTTTCACATTTATAAATCTTTTTTCTCTTTGATGGCGTTTCATATTCTTCCAACGATGGGCCATCTTTGTCATCTTCTGTATTAGAGAAAATGTTTTGCCTTGTATCATATTTATGTAAATTTATTTCAGCAGGCTCTCTAAGCTGTTTAGCAGGTAGAATATTTATAATAAGTGTGTCTTCGTCCCCAGAATCTTCATCAGTTTGAGAATCCGTGGCATTTTCTGGCGGAGAAATGGACAATGAATCATGGTTCTCTATCATATCTTCCTTGTCCTCCAGCATAACCAATGTATCATTTAGAGAGAAACCTCTGGAAGTATAAATATACATGACATATGCTAAATTATTGATATATTGTTTATAGAAGCATGTAATTTACGCAAAAATAAAGTTTTGTATTTAGTACTGTTATGTGTCCCACGTCCTACATCTAGGACGCTGTGGAAAAGAGGTTAAAAAATATATCGTAACATATTTGTACACTGTTCATCCTATATTGCTAAATATACTTTTTTTTTCGTTAAAATGCACATCCCAAAATAATATTTATATAGTTTTAAAAATAAAAATTTTGCTTCACTATACTTGGCCATTTTCAAATTTACACATTTTTTTATGTTAACTACACAAATATTATGATATAGCTAATGGTCGTTATATTTTTTATTACATCGGATGGTTCCTAGAGATCGATTA